CATTTATTCAACCAATCAATATTCACAGAGAAAAAATAAGCCAAAGAGCTGCATTGTTTATCAAACTTGTTTGTATGCATTTGTCATCTTGCCAATGAAATGTTATATCTTCTCCTCATGATATGAACTTGGTGAACTTTTCTCTTTCAGACAATGTAGAAATTCTACAACCAGGCTTGGGATTGTCAACAATCTTAGAAGAAGATGAAGATCCAGACAGTCAGATTTTGCCACAACTACGTAAAGCCAAGTGTGAAGGAGATCAAGAGATGGAAGCTAATTTAGAACGACATCTGAAGGAGCGGTCATTATTGGAGGCAGAGATTGTAGAGCTGATGACAGAAATCTTGTCAGTGGTATCATCCAAAGCCACTGCAGAAGAAGAAAAGGTTGAAGCTCAGAAATTAGCAGAAGAAATTGAAGTTATCACTCATCAAATGCAGTACAGAAGACACATGGTGGAGAAGATACATGAAGAGTATGGCCAGTTCTCTGAGAAAATGGAATCAATCAAAGAAGAGAAAGAGCAAGTGAAAGATGAAATTTGTGACATTAGAGAATCCCTTGAAAGACTGACTGAAGTAACTCAAGCACCTAAAGATTATAATTTTGAAAAACTGGGAAAAGTTGAAGTGAAGGAAGTAAAGCATTTTTCTCCGTTTTTTGTCAAAGAAGCCTCAGAGGTCGATGAGCAGTCTTACTGCACTGATGATTTTGCCAATACCGAGGATCTAGAAGATACAGAAATCAAGAATGGAACCCAACAAAAGAAAGATTATTCTGAAATTGTAGGAGAAGAATCAGAATCATATGATACAGACTTTGAAAGCCATTATCTTAGTGGTGTTTCAACTCATACTGAAACTTATGACATTGTGTCTTGTGGGAATCAAGAGAGCCTCATTATTACAGAAGAACATGCTGTGACAAGTGAAGAAATAGCTGAGTCCATACCAGACAGAGAAAATGTTATTTCTCACTATGAGGGATTAATTGAACAAGACCAGTCTCTTCTTTACCAACTGGAAACTCTTTATTTTATTGATCAAAATAAACAGAGAGGAGAGATTGGTGAAGCTCAAGAAACAGAAATTTCTGAGTTGTCTTTAGAACTGAGTAAACGACAAGGAAAGAAGGATGCCAGGATTGAGCTAAGCACATCAGATCAATCTCTTCAACAAAATACACTACTACAACTTGTCACATCAGATGAACCAGTTCAACAAGATACAGAACTACAAATTGTCACATCAGATGAACCATTTATTAAAGATACAGACCTTCAGCTTGTCAAATCAGATGAACCAATTCAACAAGATACAGAACATCAGCATGTCACATCAGATGAACCAGTTCAACAGGATACTAAACATCAGCTTCACACATCACATGAACCAGTTCAGCAGGATACAGAACTTCAGCTTGTCACATCAGATGAACCAGTTCAAAAGGATACAGAACTTCAGTTTGTCGCATCAGATGAACCAGTTCAACAAGATACAAATCTACAGCTTGTCACATCAGATGAACCACTTCAACAAGATAAAGAACTTCAGCTTGTCACATCAGATGAACCCATTCAAAAGGATACAGAACTTCAGCTGGTCACATCAGATGAACCAGTTCAAAAGGATACAGATCTACAGCTTGTCACATCAGATGAACCAGTTCATCAAGATATAGAACTTCAGCTTGTCACATCAGATGAACCAGTTCAAACGGATACAGATCTACAGCTTGTCACATCAGATGAAGCAGTCCAACAAGATACAGATCTACAGCTTGTCACATCAGATGAACCAGTTCAAAAGGATACAGATCTAGATCTTGTCACATCAGATGAACCAGTTCTAAAGGATACAGAACTTCAGCTTGTCACATCAGATGAACAAGTTCAAAAGGATACAGATCTACAGCTTGTCACATCAGATGAACCAGTTCAACAAGATAAAGAACTTCAGCTTGTCACATCAGATGAACCAGTTCAAACGGATACAGAACTTCAACTTGTCACATCAGGTGAAGCAGTTCAAAAGGATACAGATCAACAGTTTGTCACATCGGATGAAGCAGTCCAACAAGATACAGATCTCCAGCTTGTCATATCAAATGAACCACTTCAACAAGAACTTCAGCTTGTCACATCAGATGAACCAGTTCAACAAGATATAGAACTTCAGCTGATCACAGCAGATGAACCAGTTCAACAGGATACAGAACTTCAGCTTGTCACATCAGATGAATCAGTTCAACAAGATACAGAACTTCAGCTGATCACAGCAGATGAACCAGTTCAAACAGATACAGATCTACAGCTTGTCACATCAGATGAACCATTTCAACAGGATACAGAACTTCAGCTTGTCACATCAGATGAACCAGTTCAACAAGATAAAGAACTACAACTTTTCACTCCAGATGAACCAATTCAACAACATACAGAACAACAGGTTTTCAAGCAAAATACAGAACCTCATCAAGAATCTATTGACATGGATGGAAATATACCTTACATTATAGAATCACCATCCCCAGCATCACATATTGAATTTTTCGATTCAAAACCTATTGAGAAATCAGAGTTCTCAATGGCAATTGCTGATGAAGAACCAGAGGTTGAATATGAACTTGATGAAGATAAACATTTGAGCATTTTATCTTTTGATAAGCCTGTTGTATTATCAGAGGAGGATAGTTGCAATCCCAAACCAACATTTAGCAGACAGATTTCTGAAGTTTCATTGGAAATGAGTGCAGCTACACACAAGACAAATTGCGAACCTATCGTTATTGGGGTACTTACATTTCCAGATGATCAATCTAAACCAAAGGAATTCTTCAGAAGTTTATCCACGCACAATGTTGAGATATTTGAGATTACAGATCTTAAGGAATCTCCAGCAATGGAAACAGCTGAGCATTCATTTTTTGTGAACATGCCAATTGTGGAGGTCCCATCAACTGATGAATGTAGTATTAGTATTGCTCCTTCTGATATGGATGATAGTGTATTTGGTATAGACACTGAATCAGAATGTGGTGATAGAAAGATAGATAGTACCACAGGTGATACAGAATATGATGGTGAGCAACCATCATTTGACAGAGTTCCTTGGAGTAATAGACGAGATTTATATGGATACAAAGATCCAAAAAGAATTTATAAATCTGAATTTTCTAAGGAAATTACTAGCCCAACTTCTCTTCTATTTAATGAAAATCATCAAATCTCGAGGGAATCAAATCTAGAATTAAAGGAGGAAGAAAATTCAAGTGAAGTTGAAAAGGCTATAGACAGATTTGAAATGTTTGTGAACCACACTGACATTCTGAATGAAAAAAAAGAATCCAGGGAAGTAAATCTACAAGATACATGTACCACATCTCAAGACATCGAACATCAAGATTCTTTAATTGATCATCCAAATACAGAGTTACAACTTATTGCATCAAATGCACCAGATGAACAAGACAGAGAGTCGCAACTTGTCGCATCAGATGCACCAGATCAACAAGATACAGAACGACACCTTGACACATCAGTTCATTCAGTTAAACAAGATACAAAACAGCAACTTTTTACATCAGATAAACCAGGTCAGCAAGATAAAGAACTACATTTTGCTACGTCAGATGAAAGAGTTCAACGAGATAGAGAATTGCAATCTGTCCAGTCTGATAAACCTGTTGAACATGATACAGAGCATCGGCTTGTCACATCAGATGAAGCAGTTCAACAAGATAAAGAATTTCAGCTTGTCACATCAGATGAACCAGTTCAACAAGATATAGACCTTCAGATTGTCACATCAGATGAACCAGCTCAAAAGGATACAGGTCTACAGCTTATCACATCAGATGAAGCAGTTCAAAAGGATACAGATCTACAGCTTGTCACATCAGATGAAGCAGTTCAACAAGATACAGAACTTCAGCTTGTCACATCAGATGAACCAGTTCAAAAGGATACAGAACTTCAGTTTGTCGCATCAGATGAACCACTTCAACAAGATACAGACCTACAGTTTGTTACATCAGACGAAGAAGTTCAACAAGATAAAGATCTACAGCTTGTCACATCAAATGAACCAGTTCAACCAGATACAGATCTACAGCTTGTCACATCAGATGAAGCAGCCCAACAAGATACAGATGTACAACTTTTCACATCAGATAAACCAGTTCAAAAGGATACAGATCTACGGCTTGTCACATCAGATGAACCACTTCAACAAGAGAAAGAATTTCAGCTTGTCACATCAGATGAACCACTTCAACAAGATAAAGAACTTCAGCTTGTCACATCAGATGAACCAGTTCAACAAGATAAAGAACTACAACTTTTCACATCAGATGAACCAGAACTTCAGCTTGTCACATCAGATGAAGCAGTTCAAAAGGATACATATCTACAGCTTGTCACATCAGATGAAGCACTTCAACAAGATAAAGAACTTCAGCTCGTCACATCAGATGAAGCACTTAAAAAAAATAAAGAACTTCAGCTTGTCACATCAGATGAACCAGTTCAAAAGGATACAGATCTACAGCTTGTCACATCAGATGAAGCAGTCCAACAAGATACAGATCTACAGCTTGTCACATCAGATGAAGCAGTCCAACAAGATACAGATCTACAACTTGTCACATCAGATGAACCAGTTCAAAAGGATACAGATCTACAGCTTGTCATATCAGATGAAGCAGTCCAACAAAATACAGATCTACATCTTGTCACATCAGATGAGGCAGTTCAAAAGGATACAGATCTACAGCTTGTCACATCAGATGAAGCAGTCCAACAAAATACAGATCTACATCTTGTCACATCAGATGAGGCAGTTCAAAAGGATACAGATCTACAGCTTGCCATATCAGATGAAGCAGTTCAACAAGATAAAGAACTTCAGCTTGTCACATCAAATGTACCAGTTCAAAAGGATACAGATCTACAGCTGATCACATCAAATGAACCAGTTCAACAAGATAAAGAACTTCAGCTTGTCACATCAGATGAACCAGTTCAACAAGATACAGAACTTCAGCTTGTCACATCAGATGAACCAGTTCAAAAGGATATAGATCTACAGCTTATCACATCAGATGAACCTGTTCAAAAGGATACAGATCTACAGCTTGTCACATCAGATGAACCAGTTCAACAAGATAAACATCTACAACTTTTCACATTAGATAAACCAGTTCAAAAGGATACAGATCTACAGCTTGTGACATCAGATGAAGCAGTTCAACAAGATACAGATCTACAGCTTGTCACATCAGATGAACCAGTTCAAAAGGATACAGATCTACGGCTTGTCACATCAGATGAAGCAGTCCAACAAGATAAAGAACTTCAGCTTGTCACATCAGATGAACCAGTCCAACAAGATAAAGAACTTCAGCTTGTCACATCAGATGAACCAGTTCAAAAGGATACAGATCTACAGCTTGTCACATCAGTTGAAACAATTCAACAAGATAAAGAACTTCAGCTTGTCACATCAGATGAACCAGTTCAAACGGATACAGAACTTCAGCTTGTCACATCAGATGAACCAGTTCAACAAGATACAGATCTACAGCTTGTCACATCAAATGAACCAGTTAAACACGATAGTGAACAAGAACTTGTCACATCAAACCAGTCAGTGAAATCAGATTACGTTACTGATGACGTAAATTTACAGGCAAAGGATGAAATATCAGATGAGAAATTGGAATCAACTCAACAGCTAGAACAAATTAGCTTAGTCTCTGGGGAGCAAGAACAGAATTTTCAAGATATATGTTTTAAGCAGGAAGAGATGAACAATGAAAGATTACACGAGACAGAAAAGATTGAACAGAAGACAGATATGCCTGTTGATACAGAATGTTCATCTCGGCCAGAAATGCGTGCAGTCGATTTTAAATCTGCATCAAACGAAGGGCTGTTAAATGTCATGTACGGTGTTGTGGATGATGAAGTTGAGAATATCACAAGTAGTGAAGCTGCCAAACCCAGAGAAGTTAGAGGAGAAACACCCCAAGATATAGTAAGCAGAATTCTTTTGGAAACAGAAGATATTTTGAATGAATCAACTCTTGTTTCTTCTCAACCAGCTGACGAAGAAGAATCTGGTCACAGCTATGAATTATCCGACATCGCTGGAGCCCTTCAGAATATAAATACTCGTTCTGAAAGTGAACAAGAGCATTTTTTAGAGACTGCTACTGCCACGGAATATTCAACAGATCGGAGAACCCATGGCAGAAATACAAAATTTGAAATCCGAAGTGAAAAAGGCGAAGGCATCAAAGTAGATGAAAGTATTTATTATTCAACGGTACAGTATGGATCAAATTCAAGTCATCAGTCAAGCGTTTCAGTGTTTGATCAAGAAATGTATGAAACCGCCAGAGATTTTGGACAGCTTACAGGGTCGTCTGATTTGCAATTCACATCGGACGACATAATGGCACCACAAGTATTTTGTACATCAATAGACGATGAATCAGCAGCCAGGTCGTATTTTAGTGATGAAGATGATGCTGACTTTGAGGCTGCAGAAGCTTGGGCAGAATATTCTGATGAACATGCAAGCTCAGGGCGTATGGAAATAACATCTACCAGAACAATATTGAAATCTTCCAACGTCAGCAGCAATGTTCCTGACATAGTCATTACAGCAAGTACACCAAGGGATGAAGCAATACACGGCTGGGGTTTCTTATCAGAAGCGGAAACTGGCTATTACCAAACGTTAGAAGATGATGCTATGCCTGAGGAAGAAGAGTTGCAGAAACAATTTTCTTCCTTCTTAGATGATTCTGGTGAGGATTCTAGTCCAGAATGTGTTCAAGAGGACAAACAAATAAATGTGGGCGTTTCCTATGAATCGCAGCAAGATTTTGTATCTGAAGTAACAAACCAAGAAAAAATGGATTTGGATCATCTTGTAGGCGAGTTGAATTTACACCAAGAGAGTGGTACTGCTGATGGCCCCACAGAAGAAGAACGTCTTTCCAAATTAGCTCAACAATTTGGCTTGTTAACTTCTAAAGAGTCTGATCATTCTGACCAAACTGAATCTGATTCAGAGTCTGATTCAGATTTAGATGCTGAATATGAAATGGTAAATGTAAATGATACAGATGATGACTTTAAAGATGATTCCCACATTGATGAGGACTGGGTTGTGACTGATTCTGTGTTGGATAAAGTAGCAGATACAGAAAATCAAACAGAATTACAAGAGGAAGAAAGGCAACTCCAGAAAAACGTTGATAGTGGTGTTGAAAGAGAAGAAAAGGCTGTATCATCAGCAGTTCAGGAAAGTGCACAGTCTTCACCACCTGTACCTAAAGTAAGACTTCCGTCACTTTATCAGAGAACAATGTCTGCTGCCCTTTCTGGTGTAGCTGATAATCCGGAATGGCAAGTCGATATGGCATCTGTTGTACTGGAAGGCGATTATGTTCCTGACGAAGAGGTATTTGATGAGAATCTAGAAGGATCTGTTAAAACAGATGATGAGGGAACAAAGAGTGAAACCAGCATCATCTCCCTAAGAAATCCCTTTGGTGCCCTTTACAGTGATTCAACAGACACAGCCTCAGAATGTGATTCGGAAAAGCTTAAATTTGAGAAAACATTTTCTGAAGAAAGGCGAAGAGATTTACAGATCAAATCGTCTGTCATTTCCTATGATCCCAGTGAAAAACAGATCTCAAAGAAAAAGAAAAAGAAGAAAAATAAGAATGCTTCAGAAGACGTTACAGGAGTAATGGGTTCACCAGAAAATGCTCCCCTGGCTCCTCCCCTTAATTTACCGGTTTGTACATCACATAAGAAGTCACGATCTCCCTCACTCGAGAAGAAAGTTGGTACATTTAAGCTCGGAGTAGAATTAGAAAAGGAACTGAGTGAAACACTACAATCTCTTGAAACCAAAAAACGTAAAAAGAGAAAGAAGAAGAGCAAGTCAGTGGAAGCTACCCAATCAGAAATCGTTACTGAACAGACAATGGCGTCATCACCAGGTTCAGTTTCTGTTGTAGAAACAGCTTCGATGACAAGCAAATCGGTAACCAAAACCAAAACTACAGATGTAAAAGCAAACGAGTCAGCAACTGAATCTGATTCTGATCGACATGCTTCTTCTTCTCGATCAGATGCAAAGTCCTTTTATAGTCTCGGTGCGCCTGAATTGACAGTAACGAGTCCTGAAAGTGATACTCTATTCATACCTGATGTAAAACCAAAAAGGGAAAAGTCGGGAAATAGAGAGTCATCTAGGAAAACGACCCATGAAAAAAGTTCTTTGGATGTTCCTCTTAAAACTCGTAAAAGCAGAAGTAGAACATCTTCAAGATCAAGATCCCGATCTCGACGAAGACGAAATATAGTTGTTGTTGACAGCAAACCAAGCCATTAAACTACGGATAGCACGATTTACATTTGATCACCCCCTCGTCTTTCATTTTCGAGTTTTTCATTATTACATCTATACAATAGGAAATCTATAGGTCTGCTATATGTTTATTTTCTACTTTTTATACCTTAAGAATTTCTTTGACTAAATCCAATTCAGTTTGAGAACTGAGTTATCTGTGTAAATATCATAGACGTGTACACGTAAATATCAGTACTTTTGATTTGATTTCGCCGACTGGTGCGTTGACACCTTAACGTGAAAACTTTCAAGATAATTGTCTTTCAATAAGGAGAAAAAATAAATGTGGAAATTGCCATCAATTCTCTCGAAGAATTGAACACCCGAACTTGACATTATATTATTATTTTATGTTTGTGAATTTTGAATTTGATGCTATAATCCATGTTATTTTATCAAGGGTCTGTGACGTTAGATGTGATAAACGGCGTACACCGTTGATAAAGCAACATGACTAATGATATATGATCGGTCACTACTTTCCAGGTACATTTTGTTAACATATATTTTCTGAACTACATTTGACCAATTTCGGTAGGTTGACCGATTGCAAGGATTTGAATTATTGAACTGCAAACCATGACCACGTATAATCTTGTTTCTGGGGAAAAGTAACCCCGAGAAAAATTATGTTAAAAGTATTCTATTTAGATTATTTTAAAATAAATGAATAAGCATATCAACAGGTTCATTGTTATATCCTTCCAGCGGAGGCAGTAGTTTTGATGACTCTGGTGCATACTGGCGAGGTCTCCGGTGACTTTTTTCTTGGAAACCTTTCGTTACTCAGTTAATCTTTCAGATGCTCAGTTAGAAGCTCTTGGTTACGTGCTCCCACAGAGCTGTCGCATTTTGCATCATCGGCGGTTGTTCCCCCATTTAGTCTGCCCCTTATTTGTACCCCCAGTCTTGGGAGGCTGATGCCGCCACTACATTATGACAAGGAGATTCTGGGTATTTTGTCTTCAGTTAAACATAGCTGGAGAAATTATGTCCCATAAACTGACTCCAGCTGATGAATTGGATGGAGTGTCCCTTTAATCAAAAATACAAGCCACGATACATATACTATTGACAGACGTCGCGAATTCAAAAATAATTTTGGGTATAATAGTCGTCAACACATCGACAAATTTAAAGTCAGCTCAAATTCATTGTATATTATATTCATTTCAAATAACCATTATAGTTTCGAGGCATATCACATTCCAACGTAATGTTATATAGTTATAAATAAAATAGCTGTGTGTAATTGAATTTGAGCTTGGAAGTCAAATCAAATTGCACCAGGATTAGAAAAGCATCCAGGTGCAATAACAAACGGTTTAATTAAGAACTACAAAATGTTAGGAATTCTTTCATAAAGGTCTTTGTTTCAACGCTAAACTGAAGCAAAATTTTGTTTTGGAAAATCTTATGCTTATAAGTAGTTGAAACTTTTTTGTATTCATTTAACTATGAAAAAGTTGTGCAATGCACAATGAAATCAGAGCAACTAATACGATCGGCTGGAGGTCATTGCCAACACTCAATGTACAAGGCTCAGATAGGAATTCTGGACACGATATTTTAGGTGTTGTTTTTCTTCATTACGGCCACAACCAACACAATGAAAACACACGAACAAATTTCTAGGATCATACTTCTTTTTAACGGCTAGGAGCCGAGCATAGTTTTCTTCACCCCAGAAACCATTCTTCCATCCAGGCAGGCATTCAGTGGGTTCGAAATAGACTGCTTTGCCATATTTTAACATATCGTTTCCGAAATGCCCGCCAGTTTTAGGCACAGATTCCGTGAGTTGAACCTTGGCTTTGTCCCATCCCAAATAACAACTCTCAGAATGTAGTGCCGTTTTAAATATGGAGAGATAGATGTCTGAGTGGTAGAGGTTCTCATGGCGCCTAAGATGAGATGAGATGGGATGAGATCCCGAATGTTTTGTTAGAAGATCTGTAAATGCATCATAATCCGTATCATCATCTATTAATACATTCATTAAATAAAGATTCATTCTAATGGCGTTGTTGTCTGTTTTGACACCACTTTCATAACCCCAAAAGGTTGCATTTTCGCGCACTGAAGTCGCGGTAGGGTCAACGCCTGAATCTACTTTGATTGTAGATATTAATGTTTCTATTTGATCGTCTACCTGGGTTGTTCTGACACTATAATGAATCAAAACAAATGTTAACCATCCGAAATCAATAGTTCATCCTAAATATGCAGGTGCATTGTTAAATAACATATATCCACCCCATTTATTGTCCATAGTTTTAGATTGCTTGAAGAAGGATTTGATGATTTTTTGTCCTGGATCTAGAGTATTGTCTCCAAAGCGGATATAAAATATAAGCATATGTGATACCGGGTAGTGGAGTGCAACCTAAACGTAAAGGAAACAATGACTCCAAAGCTGCCTCCTCCGCCACCTTTAATGGCCCAAAACAGATCAGTGTCATCGCTGGTAGTAGAGCTGCCGTTATCAAAGTGAATAACGATTCCATCTTCGTTGACAGTTCAGTGTTCACATGCAGCAGTCACAGGGTCTATCTCCAGTAAACTATCAACAGCCAATCCTAGAGATCTGGAGAGTGGACCGTGACCACCACCTTGAGTATAGCCGCCTATTCCAAAACCTGGGTCGCTTCCTCCAAGAACAACCTTATTAACTCCGTCAACCTTAAATACATACTTATCACAAGTTGTGATCATTAGCAAACTTCACACATTTCTGTACATCTTCCAGGTTAGCAACATTTATTATCATTCCGGGCGATCGTTCGACTCGGGGATTGATCATCTTGATGGCGATGGGACAGGGTAGAGGAGTATACATTGCCAGTGAGTGAGCTGGAAAAGGTGGAAAGTTCTGACTGGCAAGGCCAGCATGTTGTATCGTAGCTCCGACATCTAACAAAACATCCATCGTGACACGAACTTGTAGCAATTAAGGAAAGCCCTGTAAGGACCGTTAGTAATTCCTTGAACTTAAATAAAATACATAATAATTCTGAATTCGTATACTGGTAGCCTGTAATGCAATATCAACTCTCAGAAAAGCTGAAGCTTTCGCCAGCAAGGCAAGCGCACTAATATAGTCTCTCAGTTACGAATTATTGCAAGGTTGACCCGTTTCAGGTTTATAAATAGGCAAGACAATATGTCCATGTTAGCTAGTTTACCTGATTAACAATGTAAATTAAGCAGTCATCCTTGACCATGTAGATTACTTTTTATTCGTCAACTTAAGTCCATCAAACCTATATAGGCCCTATCGATGGGTCTAGGCCATGAAAAAGTCACCAAGAACCGGTTTAGCTTCATTAATTGCCACAATTAGTCCCTATTGTACAAAATATAACCAAAAATAGTTAAATAACGTATATCAATATTGATTATAACAATAAGCTTATAATTGTTGATTGGATTAACAGCTTGTATAATACTAATAATAGGGCTAATCGACCGCTAGCACAGATTGATCAGTCACTAGGCTACTCACAACCCAAAAGTCTTAGCCAAAATGTGGTTGTAAAGGTATTTGGATTTGTCAGCCGTTTTTCTACAACACGGTCTGAGATGTAGTAGATCTAGGCCATAGACTTATAAATAGTTATTCTATATATAATTCTAGGGTCTAGGCGTACATGATGTAGGCTAAATACAATATGGCGGCATATACAAGTAGGCTAGCAGGGAATGGCCAGAGTCCATTATTATTTTTCATCATGTTGTTTTGGCGCCAAAATTAGGCCTAGGTCTAAATGTACTGTTTTACCTAGGCTTAATTCCTTCTATATACATGTATATATTATCTGCTAAAACTTACTGACAAGTTTTCATATCATCTCAAAACTCAAAGCAATGACCTGTCCACGGAATGCAAAACTCAGGCTTTGGTGAAGTCCGATATATCCACAAAATCAAGTAATTAATTATAAAACGCTTAATACATCCATTAAGCGATTTCCAAATCGCGAGCCTAGGGGAAGTAACTCTCAAGTGGGGTTTCCAACGTCCTTGACCTCTACTCTTGAATTGACCTCGTCGACATTGTCATATTTTAATGCCTCGTGGGCGATTACGCGACTCATATAATTTAGAATGAATGCTCCACCACTGACACAATTTTCAACAGATATTAATCATTGGCAAAGTTTGTTTGTATACACCGGAAGATGATTGTATCCTGTTTTAGCGTTGATTACCAAGACTCTATTTTTCTCAAACTAAACGGATTCATCGCTTGCTCACTTTTAAAAAAAATTCTGATTATAGTTTTATTGTCGCTTTTTCAAACTTGATAAATTGTGGGATGCATACTTATTTAACCAATGGTCTATTAAACACAAATATTAGCCACAGGACGTATTCTAAGACGTACTATCCCTTTAAGCTTTACTGAAACCTCCAACAGTAATGTATATTATCTTAGTTGTTTTCATAGATGTGTTATATAACTAGATGGTCGGTAGTCTTTTGGTGTCTATGGACTATTTGACTAATGTCCGTTTTGGCAGATTTGTCTCGATTATTTAGCCTTACGTTTTCTGACACTTACGACCTTGACATTATAATGTCAATATTGATTTAACCAATCACAATATATGTTATTCGACACACGTGCCAAGGACGTCAATATTTTTTCTTGGTTGAAACCGGTCAATCTATCACTACTTCCGATAGTGATAGTGTCTTTCAAACTTTCGATCGTGTATTTCAAATTGTTAAGACTACAGAATACCTGATAAATTATTTGATGACATGGCACTTCAGTCTGGTAGAAGATTACTTGGTTTAAAGTTCGTAAGAAGAATCATAGCTCAAGAAAATGAAATCGCAATGTTCAGTACGACTGGACCAACTAATGCCAAAAGTTGTAAAGTTTTAGTTGTTGGTGGGGGGACAGGAGGGATTTCTACAGCTGCTAGATTCGTGAAGAAGGTTGGAAAAGGAAATGTCATCATTATAGAACCTACAGATGTAAGTTCAATGTGCACTAATTAATTTTTTTTTTATGAAGTTTACAACTTATGATAGGAATAGCCTTTATTGTTTTAGACTTAGGCCTAAGCTCTGGCTTTTTAAGGAACTGTATGGTGGGTTTTCAATCCAGGACTAAGGAGAAATGAAAATAAATTAAATGGAAGATAATATGACATTTTGCTTAAATAGAAAGAAAATTCATGCGGGGTAGGGTGGTGCTACGAAGGCAGGGCATGATCACCCCTACAGATCAGCTTGATGAGTTTGGTAACTCAGCATTTAGCATTCAGCAACTTACATATTACATACAAAATTTTCATGGTTAATTTACTTTGTTATTCTGACAGAACAAAAGTGATCAATAGAGTTGATAAACCCTGCTGATGCAAAATTGCAACTTTTGCAAAAGAATAGTATGGCTAGTTCATACATGCAATTTGCTTTTTTGCTTGCAGTCAAAGTTGATAAAGTTTTTGGTGGTACCTAAAATGAATATTTTTCATATTGTATTGATGTAAAATCAATTTCATTAACAGACACATTATTACCAAGCAATGTGGACATTAGTCGGCGGTGGTGCTAAAAAATTTACAGATACATCTAAACCAATGAAATCAGTTATACCTAGTGGCTGCAACTGGATTCAAGATAAAGCTGTTAAATTTGATCCAGAAAATAATACAGTGACAACTGAAGGAGGTGAAACGGTAAGATTATTGAGTTGTATGAAAGATAATTATTTTTCATTATACTTTCAAGGATTCACTCTTTTTATTGTCCATTTAATGCCCTTTTCTGAATGTATCGTGAAGGCAAAGTTTATTTTTTTGTTTTTACTTCTTTCACAAAATAAAAGTTCTTATTTAGATATTTGCACACTGAAGTGTTTGTATTTAGCCTTGATACTTTATCTTTTGATAAAGATGCTAGTGAGCATTGAGATCAATGTCCTTCAAAGTTATTTTCATTCATAATTCAAAGTTTTGTTTCTTTAATGTTTTGACAGATGTTAACTGTTCAATTTCAGGTCAACTATGAATATTTGATAATTGGCATGGGACTCCAACTAAATTTTGAAAATGTAAGTTTCCAACTGGTAAAATTGATTGTTGAATGATATGCCTCATTTGAAAAGAATCTAAATTACTAACTCAACATTATGAAAGAAATTTATTATTAGAAAGCCTAAAACAAGATTGACCTTCTGCAAATACATGCAATTTGTCTAATTTATTACCCAAAGGTACATCAAAAGGAACATCATATTAGATTATTTGGGTACTAAAGTTAGCTTACCTTGCAATCTTTATTATTATTCAGGTCAAAGGTTTAGTTGATGCTTTAAAAACTGATCCAAATGTTGTTTCTAACTATTCACCAAACACTGTCAATAAAACATTTCCAGCTTTACAGAATTTAAAAAATGGTGAAGCTATTTTTACCTTTCCTAGTACACCCATTAAATGTGCTGGCGCTCCCCAAAAAATAATGTACTTAGCTGATGATTATCTTCGAAAGGTAAGTATATTAAGACAAGGGACAAAGTTTGTCTTCATTTCAGGGCATTATTGAAAAATTTGTATTGTTATATGAGAAAGTAACAACAGTCTTAATTAGTGCAATATGTTTTTGCTGAATTGTAGGAGAACTGTATATCTATTTTGATTCTGGAAAGCCCCATTGATGATTGGTCTCTATTTATACTTTTCCTAACATCACAGCTGTATATGGTATAATTTCATGTTGTAATATTAGTGATCATTTTCAGTCTAAGACTGTTAAAGCAATAAAAAGTTTAAAATGTTAAAGGCTGCTTGATTGGTTCTGTACTAAATTTCAGAATGGTAGAAGAGATAATGTACATATCAATTTTAATACAGCACTGGGTGTTATCTTTGGTGTGCCAAAATATGCTGAAAGGTTGAGAGAGTTAGTTTCTAAAAGGTAGATGATTTTCATGGATTGAAATGTGCAAAATGGAAAAATTTGATTGTTAAATTCTGTATATGATGTTCCAGGGAGAAAAAAGTTCCAATTCAGTTCGCTGGCATAGTTCTCAAAGTATGATTAAAAATTGTTGTCATTTTGACTTCAGACCAAATGAAAATCTATTTTGATAATATTTTCTTTTGCAACTTGTTAATCAAGACTACATGATTTGAATTATTGGTAAAGACTTGAACTATAAGACATTTGGTCACTGTGATGATTGCATTAGATTACATTTTTTAATGTTTGTTGGAATGGCTTTGTAAGAAGTACATAATAACTGTAGATACTGTAATACATGCTTGTGCTGTGTGGCTATCATTATACAGTGTGTCTCTGTTAAATTTTTTTGAATATTGATAAATATATATTTTTACAGGAATATAACTGTAAATTATACTCATAATCTGACAGCCATAGATGCTGATAAGAAAGAGGCTGTGTTTGAAATTTTAGGGAATGATAAAAAAGAAACCAAAAGCTTTAAGGTACTAACAATATCTTTCTATAATTACTGACTCTTACAACATTTATTTTGTATTTGGAGAAAGAATGGGGGGTTAAAATTACAAAGTTATAACAGAGAATGACAAAAGTGAACTTCACAGAATTTCCTTTGGTTAAAATTGAGCTGATGACATTTTAGGGAGTCGTTGCTGCCATTTTGACATGACCATCATCATCTTCGACTGAATATTTTTGTTGTTGTTTTCAGTATGACTTTATTCATGTTACACCACCTATGTCGGCTCCTGATGTATTACGTAATTCAAATAGACTAGTTGATAGTACTGGGTTTTTAGATGTTAATAAAGAAACATTACAACATGTTAAATACAAGAATATATTTGGTATTGGTGATTGTACTAACATACCTACATCCAAGACTGCTGCTGCAATTGGTAAGATATTTAAATATATATTTGTAAATTCTAATAAAAAAATATTTTCATTGTTAAAATACACTGCTCAATACAACAAATTTAGAGGGATGTATTAATATTAAAACAGAACCTGAAAAATGTTGGTCATAAACTAATTATAATAATAATGATAAACTCATTTTATATGGGTCAGAATAAGGTTGATTACTCCAAAGTGACCATTCCACTTGAAAGTTATTTACTTGAAATACTAATTGATAAGAGAGTGTATTTTATTATCATATCCCTCTACTTACAGCTGCTCAAAATGGTGTATTATATAAAAATCTTTCATTGGTTATGGAAGGTGGCAATGTCTCATCAAAGGTAAGTCTAAGCCAAAAGCCCTTAGATAATACATTACTATAATGAATAGTATTGGGACACAGATCTGGGAAGCAAAGCATCTGAGTAGCAAATAACCTCTTATATCACAATTTTCAACTCAAATTTGTGTAGGTACATACAGAGATATTTTCAAATATGAACAAGAAAAATCATTGGCACATTAAAATACCCTTGATATTTGAAAACATTTTACTAGCTTAAATTTCTTTCATTTGTACAAAGCATTGCTTCTCCCATCTCCAGTGGCACAATCAAGATCAGAAAAGTAGGAATAAAACTTTATTTTGTTTCATTTGAACTTAATTTGCATTTCATTTCAATTATTTTAGTATGATGGATACACTTCCTGTCCTTTAGTTACATCTTATGAGAGATGTATACTTGCTGAATTTGGTTTTGATGGGAAAGTGATGGAAACTTTTCCTGTTGATCAAGGAAAAGAAAGGAGGAGCATGTTATTGTTGAAGAAACATGTAATGCCAACCATATATTGGGAGGCTATGCTAAGGTAAATGATATACATGTATAGAATAATCCTAATCACTGTCCTAGTTGATATTTTTTCAGCTATTGAAAAGACTAACAAAAATTGAGTATGGAAGACTAACTACTCAAATTACTTGTAAGCCTATTTGTTAAAAAAAACAGATTTTTAGTGAGCTGGAGATATGTTTAAAAACTCTTTTTTTATTGAAGTTTTTTCTTGTCTGCCTATATGATGTATTTGAATTCCATTCCATTAATTTCATTTAATTTCTTTTGTAATTTCAGGGGATATTGGAATGGACCGGGTGTTTTCAGAAAATTAATGCACTTTGGAAAGTCCTAAATACTTGAACAGAAAACAAGTGAAATGAAATGCTTTAAAATATTTAATGTAATCTACATACATATATATTTGCCTTTTTGCAAAATATAATTTTGTATCTACAAAAAATGTTATATTTGCTTAAAAAAGTTACAATAAATTTACTTATGTTAAACAAACCCATAAGATTATTATCTTCTACTGACACATACCCATCAAAGGTACTATTTTTAAGCCATTATGTTACTCTATAGAATCACTTCAAAGCAATATGTATTGTCCATGATCAAAATCATCCACCAAATATAATTAGTGATGATGAATCAAAGGTTAAAATAAAAAGATCCAGTGAGTATAAGTAGGCCTACTGCTACAGATTGAGAGAAATATTTATCAGTATCAGACTATTCTTTTACAATGTTCAACTGCAAAGCACATAGCACAAAACGACTAGAAGCTTATTCCATTTATCGACCTATATTTTAAACAGTCGTTCAAGGACATCGAGGAATAGATTCTAAGATAGGCAGAAGTGTCTACCTCAGTGGGCCGATATGACTTTTGGTCGAGACGACAAAGTAGCAGTGGTGTAACGGGCACCTGTTGAATTCTTTTACTCCCAGACACACGCTCAGATTTATGTTTCAAATGAAAGACCCATTGATCGAATCCTATGCAAATTAAGTTTAAATCGAGGTTGTCGGCCATCTTGGTTGTTGGCGGTTCTTACGAATCGGATATTGTTTGTTTCATTTTTACGTAATAATAATTCTATCGAGATGAAAAAGGACATATTTGTGGTAAGTTTTGATAAATTGTTCATGTTTGTTATTCTGTTATGATCACAATTCTGTCAGAATATAAGATACGGTGATTCGAGTCAATCATAGCTTGACACTCAATGATCGAGTCGTATCGTTCTAACAATAACATACCCAAGACACAACGACCCAAATACTCCACATCACATGATTGTGATCCAGTAGAAGCTTAGTGAATACCTGTCCTAGTCATTCACTGATTCATTCACTTGAGTGAGTTCAAGTAAGGTGGTAGATGATTATTTGTGTCTGAATGTGTTAACTTGAGAATTTAAATTTTGCCAAAAGATAAAGAAAAAAAAACAATGGATTTGCCTTCAGGTTTGATATCTGTTTTTTGTTTTTAGAATCTAATCTTGCAACATCAAGTAGGATGTAAAACTCCATTTCATTTTACAAATTTATTAAACTTTACAATTAGTAATTTTAGTTTGCATCATAGCAAATTTTATCATCAACAAACATGTCTGTTTTATGGTGCCTTTTCTACTAAATTGAAATGCAAGTTATGGCCAAATTAATAAGACATAAAATGTAAATCAGTACTTTAATTAAATGTCTTTCTAACTTGAAAGTTGTTTGTATAATATATAATTTCTGTTGCAGGATTTGACATCTTAAAGCAAAAGTTATCAGACGAGTTTCAAATACAATGTATTATGGCTGATAATTCTGATACTGATGAGCTCCGTAATGAAATCAAACGGTTAGAGAAGGAGAAATCTGAGTACGATAGAAAAAAAGAAAGAGAAACCCTGGAACAAAAATTGAAAGAACTTAAAGGAGCTTTGAAGGGAAATTCCTCTGTAGCATCATCACCGTCCAATTCAAACAATAATAGAAGATCTAGGAAAGACTGTAGCCCTAATGTTCAGGAGTCATTTAATAGAATAAAGAATAAATTGGACACCTCTATCCAGTCCGATAATGATGATAGTGACAGTAATAATGTGTCTGATAAATCATCATCAGAAGAAGATGAAGGTATGATAGTTTATTATTTCAAATTGTGCTTGACACACAAAGTTTTTTTCTTTTTACTCCCATGTTATCTAAACTGAAGGGTAGGATGTTGAGGTTTTCAAACTTTTAATGTGTATCTGTTGGCAATGATGATGATGTGCAGCATTCCAAACTTCAATCAAATGCCTGTGGTTCTTGCATGTCTACTTGGCGCTTTATGACATTATTATCACATAAATCTAGCTGTAAATAGCTTACGGACATTTGCTATAGTGTTATCACAAAACTCTTAGTTTTAGTGGTATATCAAACCCTCGTGTTATCTTATTTTATATATCAATCAAGTTAAAAGTAAAAAATCAGCTGATTATCCAAAATTTTAAGAGAAATTTATAATAATAATTTAATGGTTAAAGTTATTTAATAAGATATCCTCATTTCACTCACATAAAGAGTTGAAATATTCAGGTAGATAATAACAGATACTAGAGATAGTGTATAGCTAACGGTATATTTCTTTATATAGTATATCACATTCTATTGTAGTGTCATGGTAACTAATACCAAGGGTCAATGACTATATTAGCAGTTATCAGTGGGCTGAACTATTAAAGCTTAGCTTTTAAAGGGGTCTATTCAGTCAGCCCCTCTTGAGTTATTTGACACTATTGTTTAACCAGATATTTTTTTTTACATATTGGTACTCTATATTTAACTTTATCAGTCAGTTGTTTACCATGGCGTATTAGTTTTTATTATACGCCCACATCACTCTTTGTGGACGTATATTGTAGGCACCCCCGTCCGTCAACATTTGCTTGTCAACGCTCTAAAAACTAGATTTTTTGATGGAATCAAATGAAATTCGGTATGTGTATACATATTCATAAAGCAAAGAACAAGTTCGAATTTTCAACCGTTAGAAGCAGAGTTATTGCCCTTCCCCAAAATCTTGAATATGCTATTACTCTCTTAGTTTTCAACCGATTTTGATGAAACTTAAAATGGATGTTTCGTTTTTACCATCCGCATGCCGTGAAGGGTGTATATGGCTGTGGTCCACTACCTTAAATATTAAATTTGTTATAGTATATTTTAAATAGAATATTAATTTCAAGCAAAAGATTTAAATTTTATATTCTTAAAGTCTAAAGCACAGTAGCATATTTTTGGGCATTAAAAGATGTTTTTGATTCAATTTTTTTAAGGTTTCACACAAAATTCTTATGTTAAAGAGTCACTTTGATATTAAAATTGTTCAATGATGTTAACTGACCTATGGAATAAAGTATATTTATATGAAGAAATTGTGCAATTCACAGAGTATGTGGGGTTTACATTGCTTCTCTGTTGTTCTAACTAATAAGGGTCACAATTGGTAGCCAAATTGGCTCAGCCAACTGAACTAGAAACTCATTGTGATTAAGCAAAGATATTTTTATACATATTGGTCTGGTAATAGAAACCGTATTAAACTTTACATGTATCTAAATCAAAATTACTGTTTTGAATTGAACTGTGCTAGACTATGAAAGCAGGTAAAATTTGTGAATAACTGAAAGAATTTTTTCTTTTTAGCTGAAGAAGTTATGACTGCTCAACACAAACAGAAGATACAGAAACATCGAGATACCTTAGTAGAAAATATGATACCAGACGACATATTTAATGATATGATAGCAGGAAAGATTTTAACCACAGCAGACGTCAGTAGGATCAAGAAAAAGTCCACAAGAGAATCTGTCAATGAAGAACTATTAAATAATCTGGTGCTGAAATCTGATAGAGCATTCTTTGTTTTCACCAAGTCATTGCGGAAAACACTACAAGAGTATTTAGCCAATCTGTTAGAACCACCTTCGAAAGCCAAGAAAAAGAAAAGAAAAAGACAACAGAGTAAGTATTGAAATACATGTATTGCTAAAATCTAGTCATGCTTAAGCCAAGAAGGAATCTCTCATTTTGCTTAAATGGGAGTCTTATATTAGGCTGCAGCTCATTGGTTCAATTAGGTGCAGAAGAATAGGGTGTAACACTCCATTCATTTCATTTTATGCTGCTGATGTATGTCATATATAATCCCTTCAAGATATTGTTTTGGTATTTGTCTAGACTATTATTCTCAATGGCCAACAGGTAGAACAGACCACTTTTTCAACTGATAATCCTATAGCTAGATTGAAGCTGTAACAATCTTTAACTCTAATGTTGAATAATATTTTGATGAATTGATATATTTTAGGAGAAATGAATATTAGTTTAGATGTGGATAAAATAATTCCAACAAATACAACTCCTCCAACCTGTACTTGTCAAGAAGTGGAAGAACAAATATTAATGATGTCTAAAAACGCTTATAAGAATATCAGACGTCGGGATCAGAGTGCTTCTGCTTTTGAACAGTTTCGTAAAGAACTAGAATCTACGAACACTGTTATCAAAGACTCAATGGAAATAATGAACACTCTGAAAATACTGTGTCGTCATGGGGAAGTGATAGGAATTAATCGTGGAAGTGTGAAATTTAAATTAAAATTTCAATCTATGGAGGATTTAAATGATATATGGAGGTTGTATCAATCAGGAGAATTATTAACATCAATACAGTCTAGGTTAATAACACCTAGGGTTTTACAATATTTTAAACTTAAAGACATAATGCTAGGATTAAGAATATATGAAAGTGAATATGAAATTTGTCAAAGGGATTTAACTGATTGGCATAAAGGTACAGCTTTGTTTATATTAAATTATTCGTCCATTTGTCCATGTGTAAACACAAATTTGGCTTAGAAATGGTAAAACAATCAGTACATTTTGTTACAGTTTCAGAGTGCAATCCTCAGACTTATTTCCCTAACTGAAGTTTGTCGAGTAGGACATACTCTCATGTCTACTCTTTGGCTAGATTATAAAGCATTAGACAATTATTGCTGTGATACTGACTTTGCCATTATTTTTGTATTTCAGTTAGGAAAAGGAGTGTGAAAGAAAACTCAGGATCTCATGTACAGCCACAGGTATATACAGTTTACAATCAAAACAATATATCTGCATTTCTGATCAAGATTTCAGATTTTTCAACTTGGTTTAATCTTCTTGGAGTTGTAGTGGGGCCTATGTGGCAAAGTATAGAGGTTATCTCATTAACCTAAAGCAATGCAAATATTTACAGATTTTGTTTGATTTAAAGATTCCAGCCTTGTGCAAAATATGCTGGTATTTATTGCCCTTTCAAGAAATAAAAATTATTAAATTTATATTCAGATTGATCCAAGCCAAGATGTAGAAAACTCACCTTCACCTAAATCACTTCAACAACAACATCATCATGGTAGAAGAAAAGCTTTTAATGAATTGTAAGTATGAGGTTCTGTTTAACAGGAATATGGTGGTTAAAATATTTTCTTAACTACCTGACAGCTCCTAATTCCCATTTCAACAAACGCATACTTTCTGAACTATTGACATTTGTCATGGTCATGACTGATGGTTTGTGAATTAACTATGTACTTTTGGACATTAATTTCTGCCATGTGGAAAGATTTTGCTGATAGGAACACGCCTTATTATTGTCTGAATGAAAATCTGTCTGGTTTGCATGCAATTAAATAAGAACGCATTGACAGATCAATATTAAATGTTTGTACTGTCCTGGTATGTTGATCATGGTAGGTTAACCTAATGTTTTATTTTGAAATGTGATATTGATTGCTATCAACTGAAAATGAGACTTGCATATTTCTGTATTGCAGGCAAAGGAACCATATCTCAGATCAAGAAACGCTTCATTGACCAGCTGTTACTTTTTATGCTGCCAACTCTGCTTTAGAAGGCATTAACCTTAGTTATTTTTAGCTCAGCATGAAGGAAATTTTAAAACCTTATGTTAATTTTTTATTGCAAATGGAAGTGCTATGAAATTATTTTTTAATACTATTTGTTTTGTTATTGAATTTGTTTATAAGATAAATTATATAGAGTACTATTAAATCTTTTAAGAGAAATTCTACTGGTTTTTGTTGCCACTGGTAAAGAGGGCAAAGTACAGTGCGGATTCGGGAATTATCGAAAATAAAACACAGACAATTCTTTACATGTAATAAATATTCTGGTATATAATATATATTTAACAACAAAATATCACAATAAACGCATTGAACAGCTATAAAAATAAAGAGCTGGACAGACGGAATGCTGAAATGGTAATGTATAGAGTTCCATAATCATTAAATGTGGTTTTGCAAGATATTTAGTTTATTACAAATCTAGTCATCATCTGAAGTAGTAGCTGTAAAACCTGATGTTATACGTTTTGGTTTCATTTCTGATGTAGGGGACTGTCTGGAAGATGAAGCTGTAAGAAAAAAAGATAATTAACAAATGATCATAATTAATAATAAGAAATATACTGAAAGGCAAAAGTTTTTTTTGTCACAATGGCTCTAAAGTATAAAAACTTCTCAACAGTCAATCTTAATCACCATGTATACAAATTCTACAACAGACTAGAACACATACCTGATAAATTTCTGTTTGTATTTATTGGTGGTAAGGGAGGGGTACTAGGTAATTTAGGTGGACTGTTATCAATATTTCTAACACCATTACCGGCACTAATAGCTACAGGTTGTGGCGTAGAAGGTGGAGCACTAGAATCTTTCAAACCTGACATTGAAAAAAAAAAAATTGAAATTGTAAGCACATTCTGGCTCATGTTCACAATGTCAACCTCTTACCAACACTATTCCTTTATCACGGAATGCAGCGACTTGATTGGGTTGTACACTAGCTAAAATAGCCAATCTGAGCCCTTTGCAGAAATACTTTGTTCACAAAATTTATGTCAAGGCCTCTGAATGGCTTTATTCTCTAGTGTACAATCCAATCAAATTGCTTCTTTTACAAACTTCCATGATACAAGAAAGATAACTAACGCAGTCAAGTAATGAGTATGTTCACTGACAAGCACATAAAAATTATAAAAAATGTTCAATTTTGCTGGAAATCTTATATATATTAAATACCTGGAGTTTTAGGTTGTACTGCTGGTCTATTAACAGTAACATATGTTCTCAATGTATTCTGTGTAGCATTAGTAAGTCTATCATCTGTTAGTGGGTAGGATAATCTAGTGCTGAAATATAATTCACATCTTTTTACATCAATATAATTTTACGGAAAAAATCCTTAATATCTGTGCTTCCAACTTTGTGCCTCACAACTGCGATTTCCTTGACATTGAAAAGACATAACTGGCAATGTCCTGACAAATATTCCATAAGGTGCATAGTAGTAGGTCAAACTCCCAGCCATTACTCCATTATTTCCATAACTGAAAGTTAGTTCTCAAAGCAATACAAAAATAGATACAAAAAATCAAAAGACACTAGTAAGCCTTTGATAATTGTGCCCTGATATAAGTTCAATATATCAGTACTACTGGTAGGTAGCAGAAGTAAATATTTGATAAAATTAAAACCTACCTGATGTTATTCTGCCCTATCAACATTCTATTAATATCTAGTTCTAATATTCTTGGTGTATTGTGGAAATTACTACTGTCATCTTTTGATGGTCTTGACTGAGATAAGTTCACCTGCAACAAAACAAACTCATTACAGCAACACAGAGAACCCTCTGACGCATCTATTATTGCTTTAGAGAGCCTGGTTCCATATTCAAAATTGTCAAAAGTGACACACTGTGTCTTGTACAAAAAAGGAGAACTTACATTCCATGTTGCAGTAGAGGAATTACCAACCCAATTTCCAGCAGCACCAGCTACTCCTGTTCCTGACAAACCTATGCCATCAGGTCCTTCAAATGCTCTTTTATTAATTACAGGAACTTGATAAGTCGATTCTCTACTCTAAAACAAAACTCTAGTATCACTATAATTTGTCCAATACCTCCAAACTATAAACATAATTTGCATACTTTTGTTCACCAATCAAAAATTCCCTATATGTTCACTATCTTGCACGCAATCTTATCATGAATAAGGGTTTTGACATGGTCTTATTAACTACACACACTACATTGCGGTTTGTGGGCATGGAATTGAGATTAGTGCTATTTCAATTGGTGCAGTATTATATTCTGAACCATTCATAGTAATGAAAACATTTTATCAAAGCGTCATAAGGAGTACTTTGTTTTGATTGGCCAAGATTTTACTAGCAGAACAGCAGGGCAAATTTTGATAGGATAATATTTAGCTATGAATACGTAATGTCTCTCACTTGTATTACCAGGGTATCAAGGAAGCATGACAAATGGGGACGTGGTTTGGACACAATGACTTGCACCCCTACCCTGCTAGACTGAAATTACATACTTGTAATGTAATCTCTCTGTGTATATTTCTAACATTAGAGGCTGGTGTATTAACAGGTCCCTGTGTACTCTGATTGTCTATTAAACCAACAGCTGATTTAGCTTTTCTAGACTTGATAGGTCGACTTAATTTACCATTATATTTCTGTTGTAGATCTCTACAGTAAAATATTAGGAAAATGAAAATAAAAAGAGATGGCAATTTACAACTGTCAATGGATCACAGCCTATAGCAAACAGAACTTAGGTTTATTGTCCCATCCGAACAACAAAAATATTTGTCCATGTCAAAAGAGCTGAAAAACCTTTTAAATCTCCAAAAAAACTATTTAACAGACTGACCTGCTACGATATGAATACATTGGTTTAATTAGAAATATTCCAGATTCATTTTCTATACTATCTAATGTTTCCATTAATAAATTAGCCATACGTAATCTCTCTGATCCCATAGAATCCATTTTCTCAGCCCATCTCTTAGCTCTCTAGAAAAGAAAAACATGAAAGGTGTTGTGAGCTGGATGTATGTATCCATTAAGCCTGCAACCAAAGATAGCCAAGAATTCATGTCGCTTAACTGTCCAAAACTGGAATCAAAATCTTGAATTACACATACAAAATAATTTCTTACTCCAAAGTGAACCCTCCTTTTAGCAGGACACTCCATTTTGTCCTTTTCTCTCAAAGACACAAAACTGAACACATACAATAAACAGGTATGTGTCAGATGAACTCAGAGTGAGAACTGAAGTGAATAAAAGGTTTTGTCTCTAGGATTAAGAAAGTTAATCTTATATTGGGGTATAATGATGTTATATCACAGTTCAATATGATTATGATATAATATTATGTAATATAATTAATAACGCCCAGTAAACATAATCCAATATTTAGAATTTTTTAACAAGGTAATTGACCAAAACATGACTTGTTATTATAATGACTTGATTTTGTTATGAGTAATTTCACTAAAATTAAGAGTAGTGGAAGTAGCCATCACAAGGGCCCAAAGATATTTATTCAGCTTTATGATCTTTACAACATACATATGGTTTAGAATTTTTATAGTTAATGTAACCATAGACATCTGACTGAAAATTGAAATGATACAGAAAGAAGCCATAAATGATCCTGATCTAAATAAAAAGGTTACTTTAAAGTGATACATAACAAAAAAGTACAGAACTGTAGATCTTCAAATTGAAAATGCCTCTTGAAAATTTTACAGATACAAATCTCACCTCATTTTGAAGACCTTCCATCTTATCTAGAACTTCAAAAACTCCATCATCTAAATTTACATTCTTCTGTATATTTTCTTAAAAATAAAAAATCTGTCTTTACCACCTGAAAGATGGTGGATCACATTCACACCAACTTTAGTGTACTGGTTTAATTAAATTATATAGAATCAGATACATTTTCAAGGTACCTAACTTTAGCATCAAACATTTATGGCTAATCTCCATTTTTTTTAAAAAGATAAACATAATAACAGGGTACATGTATTTACCTTCTATATATTTCATACGATTATGATGAATATACTTTCGAACAAGATGTCCTAATCTTTGAGCAGGTAAACTGATATATTTATCCATCTGAGATACAGCTTCCTAAAATGTATATCATGAGCCATATGGAAATTTGGAATGTTGCTCATGTGGACAGGCTCAATCGCCAGGAAATCAGGTATCTAATATTGGCATATTGACAAATATTGGTTGATAGACTTCTGATAAAGTTTGAAAGTAAAAGATCTAGTAAGGTAAATTTTTAACATTAGCCTACCCTGTTTTGATTTCCAGCTGTTAAGGGATCTTTAATTTGTACAGTGTGGGCCTCAGTTTTTCAATGTAAGTCCCTTGACCAAACATTTTGAAGGGATATATAAACTGCTGATATCTTCTCATCTGGTTTTGGCATAGGTTTGAATCCAATAACTTAAGAAGAAAGAGCACCAAAACAAACCTTATATATATTTTGATCAAGTTTCTCATCATTAACAGCTTTCTTCATTATTTTGGCATTTCGTTCAGCATCTAATCTTGTAAACATAATAGATGTATCTGGTGATGGGGCTTGGTTCAACTACAAAAAATTACATGAATCTTGTGACAAATCAAAGTAAGTGACATGAGCTGCAGGCACTCTCTAGGAAAGATCAAAGTTCTTTCAACTGATATAAGTTAGTTAACTTTTGGTTAAAATGCAAAAGAACTTGAAGTCAGATTTAAATTCTGAAAGGTGATACAGATAGTAAAAAGTGAGCACTAACAGCTGATCTATTGGAAATTATTGTGTTTCATGGATAACAATAAGCATGACACTACATTCTCAAGTTAACCACTTTTAACATGGAACTGAACAAAATAAGAAAGGTTTATAGGCCTACCGGGAATGATGGTGTAATAGAGCGAGATCGTGGAGCTTTACCAAGGGTAGATAATTCTCTTTGTAAACCATTGATTGTCTCTTGCATTCCCATCATAACAACTGTGTTGTGTCTGCAATAAAAATCATAAAGACAGCACAAGATAGCAATAGATCACCAGGCAGATGGAATTTTAATCTTCTTTATCAGTCCTTTAGGCTATTAAAGGTTGGCAGCACAAAAAAATGGAAATTAGGTTAGCAGCTTTTTACATATTTTAAAAGTGTGAAAGAAAATTTATATTCCAATACCTTAACTGATCTTCATGTTTCTTAGTAGATTCTTCTAAATTCTTATGTCTAAAAATGGAGAGTAAACAAGATAAATACATTCCAATTTTTGGCAACCAAAAACAAATTAACTGTCTTCAAAGAAATTATGTATTTGATAAATCATACTTATGTAAATAATTTTACTTATTACCAAACAAGAGCTTATAATGGCAATGGCAAATCGCAAGGACTCGAAAAGTAAAACAAAATGCCAACTGTTAGAAACTCATGGAGAATTTCTGATTGAATATAAGAAAACTATAAAATATACATACAATAAATTACATTTTTCTTGTAAATCTCTAACATAGTCATTATCAACATTATCTAGATTAACTTGACTTTCTCCTGTTGGTAGTGGTGTTCTACTAGAATCTGGTGTTATCATGGTAGCATCACGTGATACAAACATTACAGATGATACAGCAGGGTCCTGAAATATAAACATAAAGAAAATGATTGAGGAAGGCTGTAGCACAATGGGTTGGAGCATTTGAATGACATTATTTGAATTGTTATGTCCAACGAATTAGTGGGGTTTGATTCTTGATCGGCATGTGAAAGTTTGGCAACCTTAACTACGTCATTTTTACTCAATATTCCGGTTGACCCAGATCTCGATAATCTGAGAAAAATCAATGACAAGTAGTTTGGTCAAGGACCAGATTGTATAAAAAAGATTCTCATGAGCCTAAGTTGTTTTGCTTGTGAAGTTGTTTCTTTCTATTTAAAACAGCCTAAAAGTTAAGTTTTCAGACCCATTTTGATGCCCACAGAAATCAAAGATTTAATTTGAGAACGATTCTGTAGAAAATTCTAAAACTTACCCTGTCATTGACTAATATACCATTCAATAATGTTATTATTTCACCAAGTACTGAAAAATATGTAAAATCATTTTAGCAATAGAATTACTTAACTTATCCACAATATGGATAATGTATGGCATACTTATCCACAACATCACTACCATTTAATATACTTCATAATTTAAATCAGTAGATCATCTATTTTTCATAGATAACATCAAAAACAGCATTACCTGTGCTTAAGCTTTTAGTCATTTTCTCTAACTGTGGTAAAACTTTGGACTTGTGTCGAAATCTGTGAACCTCAATATCTGATATTACTTGACTAGCAGACATCATATCTGTAATTAAATACAGAAATTAGAAAAATACAATATGCTTTGTGGTCATTTTTGAAAATAAACTCTTTCTTCCTGTAATAATTAGATGAATGCATCCCTTTTAAATTAAACAATTAAACACAAAATGTACCTTTATCCAATAATGTCTTCGCTAGTGCATCTTTAAATCCCATACCCATATTATAGGTTTTGATATATTCCTGTACAACTGGATGTTCTGGTAATAACTCTCTAAAAATAAGGTTAAAAATGTACCAGTCCTTAGATATATAATGTTTTTTTTTTAAAATAGATTCAAAACAATAGCTTCTATCTTAAATGAATTACTTTCTGAAATATGATTTGACCACATGTAGCCTATAGACAAAGTGTGGATAGACAAACTTATCAAAATGACTTGAAAAAATTTAAAGGCTTATAAATCTTACCCAGTTGCTGAGAATCCAAAACCCTTCAGGTAATCTAAAAGAGAAAAATGTTTATAAGAAACTTTTTCAAGAAACTTTTTCAAGCTAACGAAATATTGCAGATAGCTTGAAATTGTATCTGATATATTACATAGTTTCTTTTGGTGTTCAATTTAATTCAAAATCTACTAAACTTTGATTTTATAAGCAGAAATGAAGTATGCAGCATAATTGTAGGGTGTCATGTGACCAGCTATTTGCTAAGCATTATCCAAATTCATTGGATATTTCTCTTGAATATTTGCCATACCTTCTTGGTCTTCATCAAACTTTTCTTCAGAATCTTTAACTTCTTGTATTGACTCCTTTAAAGCTGCTGATTTATGTTTTCTATCTTCGGCCATCTTTTTACTCTCTTCTATTTTAGTTTTATATGTTGATCTCAAGGATTGGCGACTTTTAGCAGACGACAATCTCAAGTCAGAGTCTGTACCATCATCTGGAATCTGCAGGAAATAATATTGCAAAATTTCAAATACTTAACTTCAATCAATCAAATAACTTAGTAATGTTTTATAATGACTGTTTCCATAATGCTATTTTCATTAATTCATTGTGTTAAAGGTAGAGGAACATACAGTTTTTTCCATATTTTTTCCAAACTAATCAAATAATAATCAACATAAATCAAGGGAACTATATCATCTATCAAAATAATACATAACACAATCAAACAGAAAGATAACAAAATATCAAAACACAAAATATTACTTTATCACAGCATTCAATACTTGGTAAATTTTGGTAAAAACATTGTTAAGGTGTCAAATCTCTGCAAAAAAAGGTTGGTTTTAAAGCAATTATGAAAAAAAAAATGTTACAGAAAAACATATCTGTTAAACAATGGAAATTAAAGCCTTCAATTTCAATTAATTGCATAAGGTTATTAGAATAATATTATATATAGCATAACCAATTTCACTAGCACTAGACAAGGCCCAATCATATGTTGTTGATATATGTTTCTGCTACAAAATCTTTATAACAACTGATTTGGAAATTTAACAGACGTCTGCATATTTAGATGCTTTCAAAGCTGCTAGAGCTCAATTTTGATAATATAGTGCATTTATGAAAATGAAGGAGCCAGATGCGCTATTCAGCTCCATAAGCTGTTTTGGCTAATATTTACTGGTATCTAGTTAAATAGTCATAAACACATGAACAAGATGAGCTACATCATGAGAAACAGAGTCTGCTGTGTGAGCTGATCTCCACAGATTCAAAACTCTATTATTATTATAACATAAGCAAGAAGAACATCAACATAAAAAGGTTAATCATTTGGTAAGATTTTAAAACAAAGTAACATTCAATGGTTAGAGTTAGGGTTGGTGACTTCAACAACTGTTTACCTTGACAATTATGACATTTTGTTTTGATGATGGTGTGAAACTGGAGTCAGTCTGGGAACCTCTACTCTGTTGATTTCTATATTCAGAAATATCTGAAACAGGTGAATTGGTCGTATAACTTCTGTCTGATACAGCACTTGATTTCAATAATGATTTCCTTTCATCCAGGTTTTCATCCTGATTTGAACTTTGTGGATCAGCAGTTTCTATATCTTCAACATCAACAGAGTCTTCAGTATCAGCAGTATCATCAGCAGTGTCATCATCATGTTCTTTGGATTCTGTTGTAGATCTAGCCGACGAGATACTGATAGGAGATGAGCCTTTGTCAACCACTGCTTCCTCCTCTTTAATAAATGTACCTTCCTGTTGAAGAGTTCTTTGTTCAGCATCAACTGCTGGTGTCATCTGTTCTTCTATTATTTCTACATCTGATAATGGAGTTTTATCTGTCTGTACATCTTTATCACTAACATCTTCCAGAATGGGTAGATCTCGTAATGATGCTAAGGAATGCTCCCCCTGGAGTAAAAGTGATGCATAACTTTTCATTTTTCGAAGAAATCCATTAATAAAAAGGCTTTAAATTTCAAAACAAAGAAGAAATAATTTTGTAAAATTAGATTCAGTCTATAATATTAAAATGGAAGTTTTGATTTGAATATACATGTAATTTGAATATGGGTGACATCAGCTATTATTTTATCAATCAAGTTTTTAAATTAAAAACTTATAAGGTCTAAGAAAATGTATTTTTTTGACCTATAGAAAATTTGTAGCTTAGTTCAAAAACAATCTTAAATTAAGTATAAATAAAGAACTTCTTCAAACAATGTTTCTTCTTCTACTTCTTCTTCTTCTAATTTACTTGAGCATTAGAAAGTTAATGATATAAAATATGTTAAAATATCTACTTAAAACACATGCAGTTCTATAGTCTTTTTGAAGTATTAGCTGCTGAAACAAATCAATTATTAACAAATTCAACACACAAATGACATAGAATCTAGAAAATGTCTGTTAACACAAATTGAAAACGAGTGAGAAAATTAAACAATGGTGAAGACATTTAAAACACATCATTAAAATACAGTAACTTGTTAGTAGTGTTGTTACATTTCAAATCTCTGGTGCCACAAACCTCTGTTCCACTTTCAAATGATATTTCACTAAATCCATCATCAACAGTACTGTCTAACAGATGTCTTAACTCTAGTTCTTTTTCTTCTAGCAGACGCCTAGACACACTGGCTAGTGTCTTAAACAGACTGTCTGGTCGTACACCAAGTTGCATAGCTTCATGAGTTAACTGACTAGCTAGACTGACAACTGATACAGATCTTAATAATTCTTCTTCTGCCAACTCCACCTTCGTATCATTCAATACTCTCAATGCCAGACGTACAGTTTCTAGTATTTTTTGTTGATAAGCTGGTAGCTTGTCTTCAGGGTCGGCCATCATTGCTTTCAGATTTTTAATAACATACTGTTGAATTGGTGGTAAGTTTGATCCTGGACTTAGGGACTAAGCAAATAATACAATACAATATTTTTGTTCGCTAGTAAAACACTAAAAGTGGACACCTTAAGCTTGATATAAATGACAAACTAATTTCTACAGCTCATTTCATGCAGTAGACAGATGCTTCTGATATTAAATCCTCATCAGGATAGCTGGTTTGGAAATGGGAATAGTCTGGCAAATGACCAATAAAAAGTTAAAAATTTATTTTGCTTACCTCTTTGTTATTAATAGTTTTATCATCTATTAATATATCTTCTCCCACTGTTGATGCTAGAGCCTGAAATATAATTCCAATATAATCTTAAAATATTGGCCATGCCAGATGAATTCAATGGAAGTTTATCTTCAAGACATGGGTCATTGTAAAATACATGTCAAGCACCATTTTGAGAGTGCAAATGAAAAATAATCAAGGCAAAGATGATAATCTAAGAACTATTACTGTTCCTGATTAATGGAATCCTACCAGCCACAGAATTAATCTATTTCCTCAAGAAGCCAGTGAAAAGGAGGTTACTATCACATAATATTTAAGTATAGCTATAATTCAAGGCATATTCCTCGGAGTTCAGGTTACATGAATTTTTCATTTTTTAACACTCAGTATTCAAAGGGTTAAAACATGATTCTATTCATTGGTTCAAATATATCAGTAACATGAACTTAAATTAATAATAAAAGCATACCTTAGCATCATCTGTTTGTTGCATGAGTTTTTGTATATCATCATCACTACTATGTGATGTACCTGGTACTACTTTATTTAATGAATTAATAGACATAGCCATCTCCTGTCTCTTTCTAGCTTCCTCTATTTCCTACAATCAAATATTCAGAAATTGTGAAGGGATTTTCTAATTTTTTTTTATATGGTATTGGGCACATTGGTAGCATTGATTTGAACCATTCCAATTTATAGTCAGACATCTGATGTTCTTGAAATTCCATTAAGACTGAGCATTTTATGATAAAGCTATCTCAATGGCTCTTAGTTATTATTAGCAGCTGTTGTGATAGAGGCGTGTCTATATCAATATTTTGCTCAATAGTATGCTTTTAGACTATGATACAAATATTTCAAAATATGTAGTTTGGTTAGTTTTTCGATTTGAATCTGTCATTAGATCTTAATATTTTTGTTCCTTTACAAACTCTGACAAATAAACAATCATGCTTAATCTGGAGATTGTCCAAACACATCACGCTAAAACTTACCAGTTTTTCCTGTTCTGTAATAAAATTCTCTAATTGTGTTATTGTAGTATCAGCTTCCTGCTCAGCATCTTTCTGTAAATCTTGAGCTTGATTGACTTGACTCAATAAAATATTTCTTTCCTATCAAATAAAACCAATTTAGACTAAATTAAGTAACACCAAGATGCAATTGGTCAAGTGCTGGTTGTAATATAAAGCAGTTTACTGAGAAAACATTAACAAGTAGTGTTAAAGCAGGTTTGTAAAATCATGTGCCAATATCATTTGTCAATATTGTTTTCCACAACATTGTTGGCAAATTAAAACTTAAAAGCAAGATATATCCATTCTACAGAGACAAAAACCTATGTTGTACAGAATTAATGCTCATGTATTTGTAATAAAGATATTATTGTTATTATTATAACCTTTAAGGCATGATATATAGTACAGTTTAATCTATGGAGTTGAGAAAAGTGGAGAACAGAGAAAAAAAGAATTTTGATTGGTATATTTCCAACCAAATCTAATAAAAGGTAACAATAATGCATGTATCAGAATTACAAAAAGCGTAACATACCGTGTCCCATTTAGTCTTATGTTCCTGGAATTGACCTTTCAAAGTTTGAACTTTTCTGTTCATTCTAGCCAAGGTCACTTGTAGTTTATCTTCAAGCTCAGCAACATGGCTCTGTGTCTGTAAATCAAATTAATAAACAGAATTAAGAGTTTGAATGTCATATTAAGTCATATATATTTCTTATTTCCTAACTATATTACAGTTATATTAATAAATAAATCTATTACTCACCAATTTACGGTACTGCCTGAATCTTCCATGAACATCTGGTGCTGGGATCCCGGCCTGTTAAAAACAAAAGTTAATTTAAATCCACACAGGATTTCATTGATGAGCCTGCATCACAATTACTGTTTTACAACAAAATTAGGTTATAGAGTTAAACTTATAATGTCTTGCAGTGAGCAATGAAGGAACGTTTTCTTGAGAGTCAGACTGCTCCTGCCTCAATTTCAGAGATTCAACCCAAAGCTTAGTTTTACTGCGAAGTTGGAAAATGGGTGTATGTTTAAATATCAGAGAGAGTTGAGTTAAAAAAAATAGCATATTACCCATGATTCTTCATCTTTCAAATCATAAACATTATCAAAGACGTCTGTTTCATCAACAGTTTCTAGAGTGGATTTTGATCTTTTATATTTACTCTCTGTTTCAGCTACATCAGAGTTTTCACGTCCATCTGTAAAATATGTCACAAAGATCAAGAATCCATGCTCCATAATCCTGATCTTTAAATAAGTTAGTAATGAAAAATATTCAAGATTAAAGTAGCATCTGCCAAAAAATATTCTTAAACCATAAACCCTAAATCAAATTTGTTCAGATTTTCCTGTAAATAATAGAATGAGAAATATTTAACAATTACCTTGCTTGTTCTTACTCTTCCCCTGAAATAAAATATAAAAGAAATTTCATTAAGAGAAATCCACAAAATCATTTATCACTTTCATGAATTCTGTGCTTCCAGTGGCTTCGAATAGAGAGAAAATACTTCAGTCACATTTTTAAACCATTTAAACGCAGATTAATAATTTATTACACAAAATTACCATACCTTAGATTTGCTAGCACCACTGTTTCTACTGGCAGCTCTACTGTCCTGTAAAAACATTGAATAAATATTAAAACCAAACCACCATTGTGATTTTTTTATTGAAATCTAATCCTGACTAGAATATATTTAACTGACCTCTCATTCATATTACTGATTAGTACTAATCTAGCTAGCTCTATTGGGAATAATGTAGTATTATTTCATTGTCGTAAACTCAGACAAAATATCAGATCATATCAGAATAGTAACGACTAATTCTAATAAAGATTTAATCAGTGAGAAGCAGTATTTCATTGTATTAAATATAAAATAACATTGATCTTTCCTCTTTGAATAAGATTATTAATATTAAATATAACATATAAGATTTTTATCATTGATTGCAAGATGTTTATGCACGACATGAACTAAATGTTTTAAAATTGTCTTTAAGGTGTTATGAACAGGTAAGGATTAAATTTTCTACTTAAAATTTTTGGGAATCTAAATAAAGGTAGGGATTTTTAAGAACTATCAAAAATACAATGAACTATCAAAATAGTAAGATATAATAAAATAATTTATGTGACATAAAACATAAAAACTCCTTTGTAAATTTGGGTGCAGAAAGAAAAAACTAAGAGGAATTTTTGAAGTTTATTTTAAATATCTTTTGAAATGAAAATGTCTGACGATGCATTTAAAATTTGTCAAGATAAAACCCAAAAAGATAGTGGATAGCAGAACTGACAATGGACCGCTCCTCGAAAACAGGAAAAATCAATCCAAAGTGCTACAGAATGAGTCATCTCATTTAATTTACATTTAAGACATTTGACTTTTAAATACAATTAACATAAAATTCAAAATATAACTAGTTTTCAATTTTTTTTGTCTTATGTTGCAAATCAGCCCTACCTTAAATCTACGTAACATGCTTTCAGGCGACAATCCCACGAAAGTAATAAAAGTGTTAAGGAGGGAAATAGCTTATTCCTTATCTTTTGATTACTTCTGTTGACACAGCTCTTATACAACAACATATTAAATATCATATTTCTACCTGGTTACCATAGCAACATAGATATGGTCAGAAAATGTAATGCTAACTTAACATTAAAAAAAATTAGCTTTCATGAACTAATTTGGTCAAATTTAAATGTTTTTGTAAAAAATAAGTCAATTCTGCAAAAACCCTTTTATAATAAAAATGACAGGGGAGCCACCATTTCCAACATGAGGTTGTGTGAAATTGAACAAGCTCCTGGTTCTAACATGAGATGTGAAAAAATCCCTGGTTCTGACATGAGGTTGTGTGAACAAATCCCTGGTTCTAACATGAGGTGTGAACAAAGTCCCTGAATCTGACATTAGGTTGTGTGAACATTGAATAAGCCCCTAGTTAAAACTTGAGGTTGTTGGACAAGCCTCTTGTTCAAACATGGGGAGGTGTGAACAAATCCCTGGCTCTAACAAGAGGTTGTGTGAACAAATCCCTGGTTCTAACATGAAGTATAAAAATACCTCAGGTTTTAAAAAGAGGTTGTGTGAAACTATCTAAAATTTGGGAAGCACTACTTAGCAATTGTGTCTAAAATTGCTCATTGGGGTTTTTTCAGCACTCTTATTCAGAATCCAATTGAAGTTTTCAAAATTATTCTCAATAAATATTTCACAATTTGACTAAACAATTGAATTCGGAGGGTACCTGATAAACAAATTATACCTTATGCATGGAATGGCCATGTTTTTTCACCTTTACTTTATGAACAATAGAAAGCTTGGTAAAACAAAATTGAGATCAATCAAAATAGAATTGAAAATGAATCCAGAAACATATTTTTTCGTGAAAATTAATATCTGAAATAGTAGAAATATTTCTGTCAAATATCAGGAAATCTAACAGTACCTGTCTTGAACTTTGTCTTGAAGGTTCCACACTACTTTCTGTAGAAGTTGACAGATCAAAATGTCTAACTTTTTCTCCATCAGAAAAACTTCTCTGAAAAATTTAAACGATGGCAAAGAATATTATTTTTTTCAATTAATTCTTTATTTTGGCAAATTATTAAGGGGTGTGTTCTAAAAGTTACATTACAAAATGTTGGTTTCTATGATCATATATTTTCAGAAGAATCATGGTTCCTAAATTCTAATTTCATGATACAGAATTCAAAACTTTTTGAAAGGCAATAAATGATAAAATCGATTTTTACAAGGTGAATCAAACCTCAAATCAAATAAAAAAACAAAAACCATGGTTTTTTAATAATGTAAGAAAAATATTAATCAAATATTAAATTATAGTTAAACAAACATTAGTGATCTGTATAATAAGATTTAGAAAATTTTTCTGAACAACAAGAAAAAGCACTATGATTTATGATGTCCGATTTTTACTGAATTTTTGGGGCAGTCTAGCACTAGTACATATTGTGTCTATGTCATACAAGATCAAGCTTTTTACAAGACACAACAGTATTATGGGAGATTTTGCTCATACATTCTAGCATCGTGCATATAATTGTGCTGTAGGGAATTTGGTGTAGCATCTGATTTGTCTTGTTTTGTAGCATTCTGGAAATTTGACGATTCTAGCGTCTGCTTATAACTGAATACAAGTTTCCTAAGGGGAAATATTTTGTAGAATTCTAGCACTAAATAACTGCTGTTTCTAACTAAATTTCACTATCTATTGTTATATAACTGATCTTTCCATTGAAGTATTTTCTGAAAATGTGATTGAATTTATGCTTCATATGGAAATAGTTTTGAGATATAAAATAGATTGCATTGATCTGGTGAAACCTTAAAAAGATAATTTAGGATTAAAATAAAAATGGAAATAAAATTGTTAGCTTTATTTTTGTTAGAGCAAATAAAAACAAAATCAATGTAATAAACCTCAAATTTAATTCTGAGAACTTGTTCTTTAAGGGAATCAATTTCTTCCTGTAAATAGAATACATTTAGAACATTGAAGAGCAAAATATATAAATCTTCTTTTAGACTGGCACATATTATTACACCTTATTAAGGTAATGTAATAGTCCCTGTGAATGCTTGTTGTCTCTTGGTGTGAAAATTGATACTGTGATGAGTTGCCCCCAACTGTCATCAGATAAATACCTAGCTTATCTAGTACCCCCTGCAAGGTTTGCTGTGGTACTTTTAAAAAAAATGTCTCAGACCATTTTAACAGGTAATTGCAACATCTCTCTCTACAACGCAAACAAATCACGTTTTTGGACAAAGTATTGATGTTTTTTTGCATATGGTGGCCAAGTGGTATCAAGGTCAATACATAGAGAAGGGGTACAAAGAGTAAAAAAAAAATAGGGAGTAGATTGAACAAATATTCAATGTTTCTTGTTCTTCATAAATAATTTTAAGAAAATGAAAAAAAATAAATGCATGAGGTGTCCCTACTACCTAGTAGTAATATAATTACTGCTTGAATGATTACATATTATAAGTTAAGTTTGTTTTAATATAAATTTAATATTGGGTATAAAATATAACATATAATTTATAAGTATTTATTATAACATTATAATCTTTGATCTATTGTATTATAACCATAACATGGTTCATATTACAAGTTGATTAAAATCAATATGCATGGAACCCTTTTTAATCATAAATTGAGAGATTGTATGATAAAATTTTTTCATAAGTGTACCATTAATCAATGTAAAATTTTACAAGTAAGGCAAGTTTTTTGATTTTTTGACTATCAGTGACTAGGATCTTCAAAACTTTAAAAGAATGAAAGCATATATAGCTTTATCAAGGAACTTCTGTCTTTGGAAATTCCTCAAGAATCAAAAAGAATGCCTGCAGATTTCAGCCATCATTTGAATTGTGGATCATTTTATCAAAAAGCTTAAAAAGAAGCATTGAACTCAAAAGCATTTTCATCAGAAATTTTCATAGCTGCCTACCATAAAACATACCAGTAAGCAGATAAAATAAAGCTTGCAAGATTACAGATGCAGAAATGCCAAAAATCTGAATATCCCAATAAGTGTAACATAGGAATTCAAATCTATTTATGCAAATATTCAAACCTAATTAACCTACTAGATGTGTAAGCTATCATTGTTTGGACATTACAAAGTTTAATTGTTGTAATATTCTGAAGTTTTGATATTTATTGTATTGACATTATAAAAACTGGAACAATTTTATAACATACCTTTTTTGAGACATAATGATATCGCGGTGGATTATTGTCAATAGTAGTTCGTAAATCTGTATAAGCAACAACTTTGGTTGACATTTTGAATTTTTTTAATGTATTTATAATCCTTTTATCAAAATAACATATTTAAAACAATCCATTACGTTGTTTATCTTTCCTATCATGTTGTTTCATAGATTATAGACTGATTTTTAACACTTCACTGACTTTATCAAATCATAGACTTTTGTACTGTTTTAATCCACCATTGACACGTTGCCAAGAGAGTTGACATCACAGTCAAACTTCAAGGTCATATTATTTTTCAAATTGAATTTAGATGTATTTCAGTTTATCCTCATTCTGTGCTCAAATGATAATACTTATAAAACCTTTCCATCAGTTAGGTCTGCATAAAAAACACTCTTCCAAGATTGTATTTAGTCAAACGGATAACTTCAAAACAAGTGTCGCAAAGTAATTCTTGCTTCAAACATACACAAATCTATGGCAATGTTTCCTGATTGATACAAACAGTGCAATTTTCAAATTCTTTCACCAAAAGCCTAATTTTTAACTCTTTTTTTCCAACTAAGATGTAGATATTTACAAATAATCTCTGATTTAAAAAAACTAAGTTAATTGTAACTTATGTACAAACAAAGTTTAAAAATGCAGAAAGTCAAAATTGTTAGGCACATAACCCTAGGCTGAAAAGAGCTTGGATTGAAGTCAGAGCAGACATAATGAAGTCAATAATGGGGCTGTATTGATACTTAAAGGCATAGATACATTAACATAAAGACTTAATCTTCTACTTAAAGACATGAATAATATAAGTAGATTCTATATTTTAAATCTCATCTTACATTAAAATACCATTAACGGTGTTGACTTATCTTATACAGTGTATATCAAATATCTTTCGTATAAAGACAATCAATAAACATAGGGCAATATTGACTTGAATTATTTGTTATCATGGGAAGTGATGCAACTGCTAGTATTTGCTAGTTTAATTGTGTAGAGTAATTGATGCATTTCACTTATAGCACACAGCGCAGTACATTACTAGTACTATTTCAATTTATGTTTATGACTCAAATTAATAACTGATGTAAAAGAAGTGTGTTCCTGTGACCTTGGCCAGTGCTTCTAAGAGAGTATCTTCTATAACACCCAACACTGTTTGGAAATTTGCTCTTGACCCCTGAGAGGTTTTCATGATTTAAATATGTAGGTGCCAAATATTTTTCAGGAGCCCTTTACAGAGCCAGAATCTGCAAGAAATGCTGATAGAGCAAGCATGTGAGCACAAATTTGACCCAAATTGATTGGGTTAAGCCAGCTAGGTTTACTATATGGCGATATAAAATATTAAGAATTTCTTTCACCAAATTTCTTATCAGCAACATGAGTTCAAGGAAAAGACAGATCCACTTCATACGATGACCAGGTCTTGAATTGACTGAGAACACAACAGTTATCTCCCATATAAACAATTTTAATATACCCTTTGATATAAAATTGGAATGAAGAGAAAATAAGTATAAAAGTCTATGTATTCTTTGAAGTCTTTAATTTGCCATTGATAGCAGAATATCACTTAAATACAAGCATCAAATCAAAAGAAATTCAGAACAAATTCTGAAAGCATTAGAAAAATAAATTTCAAAAATAATATTCCTGATAATTAGATTTATTTGGAAGATTTCAACCGAAATTTTGCTGTATAGAGGTTATCAGGGACTAGGTAGTTGTCCTGGTTTCCCAAAAAATAAAATTATCCTAGCAATTTAAAACCATATTTTTTGAAACACAAGACAGAATTGCAACTTATTTCTGCGTAGTGAAAACAAAAACATAACTAAGAAAAGCATCAGTCTTCTTGTGACCTTGAAATAGTTATATCACCTAATATGGAATCATTAGAACTATGATTTTGGGAACTATTGTCTGCTGATGCATTTCGTTTGACATCTGAAAACAATTTAAACAGTTTTAACTCATGTTCCCTTTCATCACGTCTGCGTTTTTCTTCCAGTTCTGCAAAAAATTTCAATCGCCTTTCTTCACATTCCATGTAGAATTTTCTTTCATCTCGAAGTTGTTGCTGTAATGTCAATATTCCTTCTTGAAAAGTTGTTTCTAATTTATCAAGTTTTTTCATAACATTTTCTAAATTCATTTTTTTAGAAGCGCCATTTTCATAAGCTAACATCTGTTCATCATCTTCTTGTTCATAAGCTGGTATCATTCTCTTTCTTTTTCCTAAACTAAATGATGTCTTCATGATGTTTTTATTGACATTTTTTGAACTGGTTGATGAAGATGGATAAGATTCTTGAATATATTCCTAGAAAATATGGAAAATAGTGTTTTTGGTAGCTGTTGTGTACATTATTAATTTGAGAGTTGGGTTGACAGAACATAACTGACTGATATATTATAATTATTTGTTGTGGCATCAGAAATACCTAATACTACCTAAATAGGATTTCAATCTAATGCATTTAAGCATTCACACAAGAAAATTCCAATTAACAATCCTACTCTTAACTTTTATAATTTATACAATATTTGTTACAAAGTTCAGTATTCTTGTTAGAGGACCTAAAAACTTTTGTTCTAAATTTCTTTATTGTATATTGTATATAACTTTCACTTGCTAACTGATCTGTTTTTATTTCTATCATTGAAGTGGCAAAATGTGTTTAATAACAATGGCTTACTTCTGTCTCATAGTCATCTTCATCGTCATCATGTTGGTGGTTGTGATGAGATTCAATTTTTATCAAATTACTTTGATCAAAACTGTCGTCTGCTTGGTTGTCAACACCAGGAACATCTAAAACTTTATTAGTCAACACATCTTCTACAATAATAAATGCTGGACTTCGAATTTTCAATTTTTCCAACTCATTTGGTGCTGTATCTCTTAATTTGGTATAACTTGATTTCAAATTCTTAATTTTCACCCGACATTGAGCTGCTGGTCTTATCATTCCCAATTCAGCTAATCTGTTTGAAATTTTCTCAAACACAAAAAAGTTTCTGTATGTCGAATCTATTTCCAATTGCATCTGTGGTTCTGCCCATATTTCAACCAGCTTTTCAACTTCAGCATTAGTCCAATTTGCTGCCTTAGCATCATATACAGTATCCTTCTGAATATTCATTTCTCAATCAATTCCGTTTTAAAGTTAATTTCCAAATCAAAATCATGTCCAAAAACACAAGACACTGGCATCAAAGTGAACTGAGATGAGAGATCCAATAGACAGGCCTCATTTACATTTAATCCTTAAGTTTAATCAGCTTACAATGTGAATTCAATATGGCTGCTTTACACACTAGTCTAATATGAATCACATGTGACTTGACTAACAAAGCCTGTTTCACTGTAACATTACACTACACTATAGAAGAGCTAGGCCAGTTTACTAGTTTCTAGGTCAATGTGGATTTAATCAAGATATGAGAGCTGTATTGACTAAAGGCCTAGTAACTATGGCAATACATCTTTCTTTACTCTACAGTAAGCCAGTTTCTATATATAGATTGAATATAGCATAAAGCCTGATTACACAAATGTAGCCTATAGATTGTGGTTATTTGCATTAGGCTACATTTTGTAACTTATATTTACTGTTGGATTCTTCTTAAAAAACAAGTCCACTTTATGGCATTGACTCAATAATGGAATTCAAGAATATTTCAGTAATCAGTAACTATTTTTGTGATACATTTTATACTGATAGAGTTCGCTATTATGAAACCTTGTGAAATTAAAGGGCAAAGATTATAATGTAACCACACGAAGAGTAGTGGGGCAATAAGAGTATGAAAATCAGAATTCTTTGACTGAGAGTACGGCAACTGAGTAGAACAGTGAGAGTGGAAAAACTTAGTTTAGAGCTAGGCAGATTAGAGCAACGCCGAGATTAGCTGCTGGGAGTAGAGCAATTGAGAATAGAGCTGGTGAGAATAGAGCCAATGAGAATAGAGTTAGTGAGAATAGAGCAACTGAGAATAGAGTTAGTGAGAATAGAGCAACTGAGAATAGTGCTAATAAAAAATGGAGCATCTGTAAATAGAGCAATTGAGAATTGAGCTTGTGAGAGTAGAACAACTGAGTTAAAAGTTTCTACAAGTACATTTACTAAGAATAGAACTACCTTGATCTTCCCAGAAAAAAATCAGCATCAATACACATGTTACAGCAGTATTATCTAATCTAAAGCCACTAATATAATTGTAGAGCAACTGGCAATGGAGCTACTGAGGGTAGAGTAACTGAGAATAGAACTGCTTGGAGTACAGCTACAATGAGTAGAGCACTGTGAATAGAGCTACCCAGACCAGACCTGCTGAGAGTACAGCTATTGAACATAGAGCTGCTGAGAAGAGCAGTTGAGGATAAAGCAACTGAGAAGAAGTACTTAGAACAGATCTGCTGAGAGTAGAGCATCTGAGAAGAGAGCAGTTGAGAATAGAACTGCTGAGATAAAAGCTGCTGAGAGTAGAGCTTCTCAGAGTAAAGCTATGTAGAGTAAAGTAACTGAGGGTAGAGCAACTGAAGGTAGAACAACTAAGAATAGAGCTACATAGAGTTAAGCAACTGGCACACAGGCAATTCTGGACAATTTTGATTTGATCTTAAGATAAACAAAATTGCACTGTTACAGCAGTGGGTCTCTTATAATAAGGGCTTTTAAATTTGGCATGGAAAGCTGCCAGGATATAATTGTCTTTGATGAGAAAGTGGCAACAGGTAAGTACAACAGGTCAAGTGGATGATTGTTGTCTGCATGATTTACCATAGTTTCAATACATTTAAGTCCCTTATAAAACTAAACAACTATGTAATAATTGTGTGTTTTTTTTTTGTATTTTAACTCATAAATGTCTTCTGTCGATGGATTAAAAGATTATGAGTTAGAATACAATTTCAATAATTACTATTCAGTAATTACATGTACATAATGTCAATCTTAAAATGTACAAAATCTCATATTTCAGTTACACAATCTCAATCATAATTCAGTTACACAATCTCAATCATAATTCAGTTACACAATCTCATCCATAATTCAGTTACACAATCTCAATCATAATTCAGTTACATAATCTCAATCATAATTCAGTTACACAATCTCAATCATATTTCAGTTACAAAATCTCAATCATAATAAAAAATCTCATCCATAATTCAGTTACACAATCTCAATCATAATTCAGTTACACAATCTCAATCATATTTCAGTTACAAAATCTCAATCATAATAAAAAATCTCATCCATAATTCAGTTACACAATCTCAATCATATTTCAGTTACAAAATCTCAATCATAATAAAAAATCTCAATCATATTTCAGTTACAAAATCTCAATCATAATAAAAAATCTCAATCATAATTCAGTTACACAATCTCAATCATATTTCAGTTACAAAATCTCAATCATAATAAAAAATCTCAATCATATTTCAGTTACAAAATCTCAATCATAATAAAAAATCTCATCTATAATTCAGTTACACAATCTCAATCATATTTCAGTTACAAAATCTCAATCATAATAAAAAATCTCATCCATAATTCAGTTACACAATCTCAATCATATTTCAGTTACAAAATCTCAATCATAATAAAAAATCTCAATCATATTTCAGTTACAAAATCTCAATCATAATAAAAAATCTCAATCATAATTCAGTTACACAATCTCAATCATATTTCAGTTACAAAATCTCAATCATAATAAAAAATCTCAATCATATTTCAGTTACAAAATCTCAATCATAATAAAAAATCTCAATCATAATTCAGTTACACAATCTCAATCATATTTCAGTTACACAATCTCAATCATAATTCATAACTTTTTGTTTATAACAAAATTTCTATTGAAACCAAAATGTTTGTTTTAGAAACTATAAAAAATAATAAAACTTACCATTAACTTTTCAATTTCTTCATCATGTTGATTTTTTAAATCCTCAATCTCTTGACTGTGACTTTTTAACATTTTTTTAATTTGAGATTCATGAATCTTCTCCATTTCTAGGATTAAAAAATTGAGTCAATTAATATAGATTATACAAATACAATATGTCACAGTTTCAACCCGCTGAAAGTGAGAATATATGTCAATCTTCAAGTTATATTTTAAAATATTTACATAATCTTTAAAAACAAGAGTTACTGTATATTTGTGTATAGTGCAAATTTTTTTTACTCTAAAAAGGGCTTTCCACACTTTGGTATTTTTGAATTTTTCAGCAGTGGTTCCCCAGTTGATATTGGTGGTCCCCAATTACTAATGAAGTAGTGAAAATATCAGTCTATTTTTAAGTTTTTTTAGTTATAAATTTCTTGTTATTTTTTAGCTGATGTTTATAACAATACAGTACCTCTTTTAGCCTCATTAGATTGCATTTTACTTCCATCCACACCCTTCTGCAGTTCCATCAACTTTTGCTAAAATAAAACAATTCAATAATAGATTTGAGAATGATCTTTAAGTGTAGGAGGGGGAGCCTCAGTGGCAAAGTAAGTTAACAAGCTTCTTTGGAGGTTTCTCCCTGCCAATGATACAGGTCAAAGGAAACGACATGGAAAAAACTTCGAGTCGTTTGGATGAGACAATAAATCGAAGCCCTGTGTGCTACAGGCTATGATCTCTTGACAGTTCCCAAAAATCAAACATGGGTTTTCATGGCTACAGAGAGCTGTGCTTGACACAATAGCAGTTTATAGTGGTCACAATCACAAGAAAATTAGCTAGATGCTCACTTGACTTTCCAGACTAGCATTATCCAACCTGTTTTGAGATTGTTCATGACTATGTCTAGCTTGAGTTAAATCAATCTCCAGTCTACTAATAACTTGTCTCATATCTCTTAACTTCTCATCTCTCATTACAATATCATCTTTTAATTTCTCAGCATCTAGCAGATTTTTCTGAAATCATATCAAATGTATTATTTAATGCAGTTGGATTAAAATCCCCAAAAAACTGGGCTATATTAAGATTAAAACTTTATCAAGGCATTGTTTTTCCCTGGCTTATCAAGTTCAACTTACAACTGGGTTAACAGGAATAATGAGGAAAGATGACTTATTTTAGGTCACTAGACTTTCAGATGATGACAAGAGATTAGAACTCATGATCACCATTTGTTAGACGTTACCAAGCAAAAGACATCATTCCAACCCTGTAACTGTCTGCTATAGTGGTCATTTCGAAAATGAAAGACTTAAGTCATACCTTAGCTACTTCTGCAGCAGATCTGTATTTTTGATTCTCTAGTGTTTTAATTTCTAATTGTTTATAAAGTTGTTGCATTTTCTCATCTTTTTCTTCTAGATCTGAACATAAAACATTAAAAATTGTGGAGAAAGAACAGGAAAAAATAAACCTACATATACGAGTGATAAAAATGTATTTAAAAAAGAAAAAAATTCACAGTTTTGTAGAATACTGGGTGCATTTTATCTTTGGTGACAGCTTTTTTCCTTGAATTATGGACAGAAAAAAAGGATGAGCAATTCACTGTATATAACATATTATCAATTGACATCTGATCACCAAGATTTCAATCTCTACCTGATTGGGATATAAAGAATCTTTAGTGTATCGATGATTATTCTGCTTGCAATTTCAACAATCATGATATATTTTAGACATGATAGATTTACCTGATTGTACACCTAATAACTTTTCACTCAGACTACTAAGATCATCTTTAGCAGCTTGTAATGCCTTCTCAAGCTTCTTTCTTCCCCTAGAATTAATTTGTAAATATTACTTCATATTATCTCATCTTATAAATTCTATTCTTCCTCTAAGAAAATTTTAACATAGCCCAGCCCACATGATCACTTTTCATTTAAAATTAAAACATCATTCGGTCTGTTTTTTAACAGTTTTTGTATTTAAGTCAGTTTAAGTGCATTTTTTCTACATTTGGACCCAGTCTTATGATCAAGTTGGGTCGCAAGTGTTTATTTCTCAGTGTGTAATTCAACTCATACGACAAAACTTTCAATGTTAGAATATTTTAGAAACTTGGCCTTGGATTTTATCTTAATCAAATTTTTGTAAATTAAGCCATTGGTATTAGCACAAACAAATCTGTAGAAAGAAATATTAAGTGCAGAAGTGCCAAGTGGTAAAAATTTGCTGTGCAAAAAAAAAAAAAAATCGCAAACACAAAACAATTCAAACAACAGAAAGAATTATATCAATTCAAACAGTAAAATTTCACACTACATACACATGACTTACTTGCCTTCTCCTTGTGCAGATCTTTTATAGAAATTAAAATGAAAGGTTTTTCAAAATTATCACACTGATAAAATAAGGCAATAGTCATTACCAAGTTGGATTGTCGTCTGCTGGGGGAATATGGTATGAAACAGAGCATTTAATAGCTAAGATAAATGATGTGCAACAACATCATTTCAAGACTTTACATAGGATCTTGGTTCACATCCAAAAAAGAACATAAAATCTCTAAGTTTGATCCCATTTGTTTAGAAAATTTTATGAGAAATCTTAAAAAAATAGTCTAGAACACAACTTTATGCTACACTATTCCCCAGAAAAAGTTGTGTTCCATTATTTAAAACCCAGAAGAGTATACAAAATCGTGTTCCATTGTTAAATGTCAATTCTACCTAATAATGCTATTTCAAGAATATAAATATTTTAGCCTTGAAGAAATTATTCAATATAAACTCAAAGGAAAGTCTAAACTTACTTATTTTTAGCCTTATTTTCAGCATAATTAAGAAGATACTCTATAATATCTTGATTAATATCACCAAGACGAGTAGCTAGTCCACGAGCTACATCTAAGGATTCATCTATTTTGTGGGTAACATCTTCTAAGTCTACGTCTGGTGTATTGGGTACATCATCTTCAAAATTTCTTATACTATCCAAGAAAAACTGTAATAAAGTTAACATAACTAGTACATGAACCCTTAGTAAAGTCAGAAAATGTGTTTATTCTTTAAATTTTGCATAAAGTTTGTGGTCCTATGATGACAAGTACAAAACAATCTCTATGTATCCATATACCAGGTTGTGTATATTATATCTTAAAACTAACTTACCTCATTGACCTGCTGTAACAGTTTGAGTTTTTGTGTAGAAACTTCTTGGAAACCAACAATAAATACTGTCACTTGAGCTTGATACTGAAATAGAATCAGATGGTTCAATTTTGAGATCCAACATGGCAGATATAACCATACTTATTTATATCAAACATGAATGTCAACCTTATATTTTATTATTGTTTACTAAAAAAAACTGCTACATGTATTTTGCTGCCAGATTGTAGATGGTAACAATGCTTTATCTTGCAGGATTATTTTTCTAAATTTAGATTTTTAGGTATTATTGCAATTCATAAGTTTCTTCCATTATATAAGAAGAAAAAAAATGAAAAAATACATAAATTTAACTTATGCAAAATAACAAGCAAGATTTCTATAACTTGATAATAGTAGCATAAAATTTTTTTACCCACCTTTTTCTTCTTTACTTGATCTTGGAGTAGTTCTGCCAGTTCAGCCTAAAGTACAGAAAAATACCTTTATTTATTTGAAAATGTTATTAGCTAAATAATTCTTGCAAACAACAAATCTAGTATCTGTATTCTACTTACAATGTCACTGACAAATTCCATATTGGATCCGAAATCTGCATAATATTCATTGGTCATTTCAAAATTCTCACATATCTATAATAGAAAAGATATAATAAAACTATACAAAAAAAATAATTCCACAAGGTGTATCAGGTAAACCAAGCACAGTTCTAGAGGATTGTTTATAACTGTCTGTGGGAATGTTAATATATCATAAAAGATATATCCCTGATTTTCACCCAAATATTTTCAGGTTCAACTTACATTTTCAACTCTATGCATCACTTTCTCCAATTCTTCCTTGGTTTCATTAGCAACTCTCTGGGCTAGTGCCCTGGAGTTTCTATCTATTACAGCCTGGGCAGGGGCATCCCCTCTGTCTAGTATCGACATTGTTCCTAAATAATTCATCTTGATGTATGTATATCCAACTCTTTATTCAAAAATACCAGTACTTATTCTTAACAATATAACATCTTAATTTAATATCAAAATCTAAATTCTGAAAAAAATAAATCAATATAAATATTTCAGTTAATAAGGAGGAACTGATGTTACCTAGGTATAGGGCCACAATCCACAAGTCAAAGTACACAAGCTAACCTAGCTATTAAATTGACCAAAAGTCATTCTGGATGAAATTGCCTGGTGTTTGTGGAAAGTGTAGAGAATTTGGAATATCTTAAAAAAGGGAAAAACATGCAACTGATTTTGAATGAATTTAAAATCTGAATATAGGTCTTTTTTGTGATAATTGTCCATGGGCTCTGTTAAATGTTGATACTAGATTTTTCATTGAGTATAGAAACTCATCAAATATATCCAAAGTTCTTCTTGAATTTTATTGAAACTGAAATCATTGGAAATGACTAGAAATTATGCTTTTACCAAAACATACCTTTGACTTGTGGTCTACATAATAATATCATATCAGAATATAAAAGCGTTTCATTCCCTGAGAAATTAACATTTCAGTACACTAGACACTGAAATAAGGCACAATTTTTTATATCCCAATATATCTCTCCTGAATATAAGACCTATCTAAACCTATCCTACAGTAACATTGTAACAAACAATTTTCATGTGGATTAAACCAAGAATACTAATCCAGATCAATGATTATGGATTAAGGATTAGGTTGGATTCCTTGCCAAATAACTGATATTATATTAATTGAAATAATATTAAATATATATATAACCAATAGTGTTGTTACTTTTCTATTTTTGTAACTTAAACCATATTTTGGACTCGTTAAATATTAAATAAGATAAATAAAAAATGAACAACCATAGAAAATTGGGCATTTAGTTGTATTTTATTGTAGTCAAAATACCCTTACGAGTATTAAAAGATGTGTAACTGATTATAAAGGAGAGGTAAGAGATTTTAAACAGAATCAAACAAGGGAAGTGAAAACATTTGATTACAAATGACTGACTGATTCGAATCAGACAGAGTGAGAAATTGATATTCCTTGATTGTTGTCTTACTTTTGTCATTTAAAAGAATTTTATCAGAGCTATCAATGTGTGATTATCAGCTTGAAATTGGTAATGATGGAGATCTTTGCAAAGATAAATAGATAACAATGAAAACATGAACATAGTATAAAGTAGCATCTTGAAAGTTGATTTTGCACAGGAGATTTTCATTCAAGATTTATTATTTGACAAGTACGGTTAAAAACTTTTAAAAATCACCCCAAATTTGATTCAGAATATCTTAGAATACCAATTCAGAAAAAAAATATTTGTTAGATGCAAAACTATGAAAGTTAAAAAGTTGAATATTTATATATGGTATTTTGATTATGACAATGAATTGAAATGAATTTATTCTTCATCCAATATCTCTGTGTAATGCTTGATCATTGAATTCGAACCTCAATGGGTAAAGATCAATTGTATTATTTCAAACTAGCGGTAAATCTTTCAAATACCCAATAATTACCTATCAATTATTTATCAAACAGTTGTTTATAAGTTATCTTGGCCGCCATCTTGACGAGCACCTGCTGTCACGTGATCTTGTTGCCAGTCAACGGACGCTAAAATGAATTTCAGTCTGGATGAAAAAGACTATTTGCGTGGGAGTTCTAAATCTTGTTCATTTAGTCACAAAAGAGATTGCGCTTATTGAACTTTTTGGACTTAATATAAAAGTTACCATTAAAAAAATAACATTGCTCGAACAATTTTTTGGGTCAAATAGATAAATGACATGTAAATCTCCCATTGGGTACTTAAAGATATCATTCTTTTGAAGTTGAAAAACCTTTTAGACGTTTGAAGGATTGACTATCAAAAACCATGAACTTTCGCAAAATTTTGATAGCAAAAAACGAAATTTTTTCAACTTTATTAAATTTCTACATAGGGTGAATATAAATTGGATATTGAACATGTAGTCCCACCATGGACGGCTGTCTGTTTTATAACCTACGTATAAGACTATTGGACATGTAAAGGCTCTTGTTTAGCATTTAAGAAGAATTTTTCTTTTTAATTAACAATAGGCCTACATGCTTATGGAGTGATACTAGGCTTTAAGAGGATTCTCAACAATTTATAGGTTTCTGGCTTTCAAATTTCAAGTGCCATTCAAACTGTGTTCAAAAAGATACATTTTTACAAGAGTACTATGTACAAACCTTTTCCATTTCTATTCCAGGTCCTTATTGTCTCACATCTTCATTAACTAGACACCAAACCTGGTTAGAGCACAGGTACACAAGTCATTGATTTCATTTAAGGCTAACAGGATTAAAGACTGGATAGTGATTTCTATCCTACTTTTCTAGTTCAGATTAAGAAAACGAATAACATGTTGAATGCAATATGAGAAAATTTCACAGGAAATTTATCGATTTCCAACTGTTGATAATAATGCGCATGGAATGAGGCTTGAAGGGAATTGGTTTACTGTATCCAGACATCCAGACACATAGTCAATATCAGTCGCTTCATCCCACATCACTGACAGGGGGGAGCCGGTTTAAAAACTACTTATCCTGGTATCAAACCCAAACCCCTATTGTTAGGATATCATCACAATGTCTGGTTGTTTTGAACTGTGTCTTATACCTTGACTTCATTGGTCTTGTATCACCAGCGATTTGATTGCTAGCTAATACAGCCAATCAGAAATCTTTACAGAAAGCCTTAATGTCTCCAGTCTAAGCAGATTGGCTGCTGCATTCTTTGTGAAAATAAAAGAAAAGAGCCAAATGAAATCAAGGTATTAGACATAAGTTTGTAATAAATTTCACGAAGATGTTGCTAGGGTTGCAAGCAAGCTTCATATTTGCTGACATACTCTATGACACAAACAATAAGAAAGCAAAAAAACAACTAGAAACTGAATAATATTTATTGGAGAGATTGAAATAAATATTTAAGATAATAAATTACAACCCTATTATCTTGTATATACACAGTTAATTAATGTCTTTAATAAATAAATAGGTGGAGTTGGATCAGACAATAATACATAGCTTTTCTTATCAATTGCAGTAATGATAGATTCTATCAAAGACTGCTAATGGTTTTACTAGCTTAGGCAAATGCTTCAGGTGGAATATATTAAGATAGCCAAACAAGTGGAACCCTAGTTATACAAATTAAACATTTTGTTTTATATTGTGTGTTATAGAAGTTACTCTCCTGTAGAAGCACATGCTTAAGTCACAAGAAAAGAAAACATGTTTTTAACCTTTTATCTTGTTTAATGGTGACTGAATTCAAATCTGAAGCTATCATTATGCAGATAGTATCAGTAGCATCCATCATCTATTTTATTTAAATGTTTCAGAACTGGAGGTCTTATTGTATTAGTGATACAGTTGCTTAAATGATGCTCTTATAGCAAATATTCAGAGAAAGACAGCCATAAACAAGGTATTAAGAAATAACAAGAAACATAGAACAATGCTTTAAGGCATAAATATAGTAAAAATAACTGCTAAAATATATCACAAATCATCAATCTAATATACATACATTCACATACTAATAGTTTCATATACTTATACCTTCAAGCCTTCATAGTTAACTTCTAGATTGAGCAAATATTACTAACAGATAGGTTTTATAAGTAGCTTGGCATCCATATTGGATCATTCAAGATGGCAATGACAAATCCGAGTTGGGAAAAGCTTGGCATCCTTTTTGGATCATTCAACATGAAAACGAATGACAAAGTCAGGTGTCAATGGAAAGCGTGAAGGATATCTACCTTCTTCCAAGATAGCATCTCTGATTTCAGACCTAAAACTGTCCAAGCAGACGACATTATGTTACAATGGTGAGATAGTATATGAAGCTATTTAGTATTTGAATGGTTACTAGACTGAATCACAGTTTTATCTCATTATAATAATTTCACAGAATCCAAACATAATAATATCAACTTATAACAACTAATCTTCACTTTTGGATCCGCACCACAAATAATTTCAAGCAATTTCAACAACTCAAAGTCATAAACATTCAAATTGTCACTGTCATTTGTAATTCTACAATCCCTACTAATTCAGGGACTTTGATATGGATTCATCTGATTTACAAATCATGTTCAACTAGAATTTCAAAATATGTGACACAAATTATGACCAATGGGACATTTTTCACACATAATTATATCATTGATACGATGTCCTCATGAATTTCAAAGAACACATTTTAAAATAATATTCTGGGAATTCTGGCACTATTGTGCTAAGATGCAATTAATGGAAAGGAGGGATTATAAGTATACAGGTTTAAAACTGAAGTAACAAATTCCAATCACCACTTTATCTTACGACTAACAATATATTCTACTGTCTATTAATTCAAACTAAGATATTACATTTAAAGTCAGCTATGACATGTGATATTCTTAAGACTGGTTGTCAGAAACATCCTAACATAAGATTCTGCATCTTCACAATGTCAAGCTGTTACACACTTTGTCTTATACCTTGACTACAATAGCCCTCTTTCTTGTATCATGCAATGGCTATTTGATTGGATTGTAAGCCTGCGAATACAGCCAATTGGAACTCAAAAGACATTATTGATTACAGACTTCTTGTCGAAAGCCCTGATTGACTTTATTGGCTAGCATAATAACCAATGAAATCATCGTTTTACAAATAAAAGAAAGTTGGCTATTGCAGTCAAGGTATAAGATGAAATTTATTATAGCTTGGAGATGAAGATTCTCTAACCTAGATGATTTTAAGACATTTGATTAGTTTTGATGACAGAAACAATGACAACTCAATTCTTAAAATACAATTCACAAAATTTTTCAGTTGGGATGTTTTTTTGCAGCAAGCTGATTAGAAACTTATCTGTAGGCATTAAATTTTATCTATTTTATTCATATCAAGATCAGTGCCACAGTAACAAAAACTGATCTTATAACTAAATGAAATTGATATCTATAAATTAACAACTAGAATAAACCTAATGACAATGTGGGTCACCTTTTAGGCGAATATTTTGGTTTAGTTGGACCTTCTGTAAAGGAACGAAGTTCATACTGAGCTACTTTATTATCAAATTCAAATTTATCTCGAGCAAATATCAGTCGTAGATCTGTATGTAGGTAAACCTTACTGGATTTAGTACTAGCAAATCTGAAATTGAAAAAAAAAGAAATTCATAACATTGAAGAAAGTGTAAAAAATATTGATCAAGTTCTATTTTTGTTCTTTCCCGAACTTTGCCTCTTTCCTCAAAATTATCATTTTCAATGTAATAGGTTTAAATTAGCAAAAGAAATTGTTGCATAACTCTTTGTTATTAAAAATAACTATGTCTTACTTACAATAGGGGGCCACTAAGTCTGGTTAATATAATAATATAACATACCGTAAATGTATAAGATATCTGAGATAAGATGGTTGATCACTATCACTATCCACTGGCATATATAATGTTCTCTGTCGTATAAATGTTTGACATCTAGGTGGCATATCAGTCATATCATACATCACTACAAACATCTTAACTACTGTTTTATTGGGATTAAACAACGTCTAAAATAGAGAAATATTATGTTCATCATAATTGTAACACTTGATGCCACTTTATGGCTATGTTTATGAACTCAACCTATTCAGAGAGTCCACAACCAATCGAGATGTTTTATTTGTTATATTTTTCTATACCATTCTTTCAAATTTAAGTAATATTAAGTTAAATCATAGCTTACATATTACTACTTGTTAAATATAAATGGTCATTTACTTACCACTTGAACTGTACCTTTCTTTGGAATGTGATATCCTCTTTTACCAAGAGTGTCTAAATTAATGTGGCCCTGTAAAAATAATAATCAATAAACATACTGATTTCAAGCCAATTGGTTTTATTCAATCGCAGCTTTATATATTGCAAACCAGACTTCTGTGACTGCTTAATGAGCCTACAAATAATATTGTCTAAAGATGATGTTTTTAATGTAGAAGCTTACAGTATATATTGATTCTTTTAAGGAATTCACATTTAAATGGACAACACAGAAACAAGTTTAATTCTGCTGTAAGGAGTTAACATCTAATGTAAACAAGTAGAGTCTACAGATCAGTAATGGATTTGATAAGTATACATACAAGATATGGTGAAGGGGCATTATCATCTGATAGTTTAAAGAAGTAAGCTGATACTGGTAGAGATATATGTTTAGGACAAAAAGAACCACTAGCTCCAATTGCTGCTGTAAAACCATCAACAGCTCCACATGGTTCTATTCTACCATTCAATATAGACTCCTACAAATATATATACAAGATTGAAGGTTGTGAAATGACGAAGTTAACATTTTGCAGTTAATGAGGAGTTTTACACCCTTTAATGTCTGCTTCAGTTTTGATGGGTTTTCAGCGAAATAAAATCATGTAATTTTAATACCTGTCAACAAAGGGCAATAACTCTAATTGACCTGATTCTGGATCAGAGAGGGCCAATATTACATAGACATTGATAAAGACCAATTTATAAAGTTAAAAGAAAAAGTTCCTCACCTCAAAATTTCCCAAAAGACAATTGGTAGAAGCTGGTGCACTTGTGCTCAATATTCGTCCACTTTCCTCTAATATCTGTTCCCCTTCACCTTCTGATGCTAGGGCTAGTTTAGAACATGATAGAGCACTGCAAGAAACAATATTGGTATTAAGTATATTGGTCAACTTGTTTGAGGGTCTTTTTTCAGCATTTCCATTCATCCAATTTAGATAATCAACAAATTCTACTCCATATTTTGGACAATTCAATACGTTTTGACGAAACAATGACACACTATTCAAATATATTGTTGTTTCTGTCTACAAGAAATGATGACAGACGCTTTTGAAGTTCTAATTTGGGATATGATATTGCACATGGAAACTGAAAAGCTAGGTTCTTTCTTTACTTTTATCAGCAATCCTCCATTTTTTCTCCAAAAGTTTGTTATTAGAAAAATAAACAATCTGTACTTACTATTTGATTGCTTTAGTATTAGATAATGTACTATCATAATCAAATCTTCCTGACTTTCGCTTTGTTGGGGCCTAAAAAATAACAATATTAACATGGATTCTGTGCGAGATTATCTCATATACCTTGTGTCTAAATATAGAAAAGTTTCCACAATATCAACACCAGCTGTTCAGATGAAGATTTCATTTCTGCAACATGTTGGCAGCAAGTCATGAGATGAGCTCTTAATAATATCAATGATTTTCATTTAATAGTAGAAGAACCAGGTGTTGTTATTTCATTATGAAAATGGATACATATAGCTAGTTCTGGGTCCTTTCGGCTGCTGAGACAAACTATGATTGCATGCATAATTAAAATGAAAATTTTTTTAACTTACAGGACTAGATTGTGAAGGTAGACCAGTTCTTTGATTAAACATCATTGAGGCACTTTTGGTCAGGTGACGTCGGAAGCTCATGATGTCCTCCATGGTAGGAGAGTTCAATACTTTACTTAGTGGGCTCTGGAAAATATTCATTTTGTTTTACAGAAACACCATTCACACATGGTTAAGATTCAAGATCAAAATGACTAAAATGCTATCCTAGAAGTTTGGACAACACAGGACATCTGCAGAAGTCTAAATGAATTTTAGAGTGAGGGTACAGTTTGATTATAGATTAAAAGATTAACATATGAATACAGATTAACAATATCTAATCTATATATTGTTTTATTAATTAATCTACTGATTATCATATCATTGTTTCAAAACTCAAAACATATGTCAAAATTTCTAAACAATTTTGATTTAAGACTGCACATTTGAAAATGGCTGAAATGTGTTTTTAATGAAAAAGATATTAAGTGAGATATTTATATTTGTATGAAATTACAAGCCAGATCCAGTGGCAATATTTGGAATGAAAAAAAAATAACTGGATCCATGACCATTTGTCAATACTGAAACAAAAAATAGGACAAAGGTCTTTTAAAGCTAACACATGTTTATCAGGAACTGCCATTTTTGAGACATGGAATCCTAATTTGATCATGTAATTTTTGAAAGACATTAACTACCCTATCAGTAAATTGGAATGATGTGTCTGAAAACCGTGTACACACTCAAAAATACCTCTTTACAATCCCTTTAAGTTAAATTAACAATACAAACCTTGGTATCAACTGTATTGCATAGTGAGAAACCATTGGTTACAGCAACTTCATTATCAGAGGAATAATCAGGAACAGAGAATGCCCTTTTAGGGGAATTATGACACACAATATTGCTATCATATTTATGTGATGATAACTCAGTTTCATTTAATGATTGAGATTTATCTAGACACGAATCATGTAAATCTATATGACTAGTATTACACAAATCTTTATCACAAGGTTCTTCATCAAAATGGAGTCCAGAATCCTTCAAAACATCCACATCCTTAGTATCATCAACAGAAAACTTATCGAACATATCAGTCACATTTTTAATACCATTCTCAACCTCGTTTGAGAATCCGTTTGATGCTTCTCTTCCATTTTGATGACCATTTTCGGAACTTTCCGAAATTACTGAATCATGGAAGCCATTTTTACATTGTTTGTCCTCCTTTTTCTGTAACAATGTTTCTGATTGGTCAGTTCTTACGGCTGGTTGTATTTCACTACTGTCTGAAAGACTTGGTGCAAATAACTTACGAGGAACTTCCTCAAATGAGTAATTTCTCTCACGTTGTCGTTTTAGCGGTGTTTCAAGGTCGTCTGGATTATGATTGCAAGGTTTATGATCACAGTATTCTCCGATATAGAATTTACATCGCGGCGTGTTGTCGTCACTGGAATTATCAGATTGAGAGGAGAAAGAGTAGTTCTGAAGGTTGGTCAAATATTCGTTAATATCCACAGGATTGATCTTAGCAGAGAGGTAGTCCTTCTCCCAATTTAAACAGTCATCATCACAATCTAAATTTAGATGTTTCTTCTTCTTGTATTCCACTTTAGTATTATTGCTAGCTGGTGCCAACAGAATTTTTGGACTATGTAAACGCTTTGAGGTTGAATCAGTAACTTGTAAATTATGCTCATTATATTCTGATTGTAATGGTAGCAGATTGTCTTTAAATATTTGTCTCGATGGAGATTTATGTCTATTTCTATCACAGTCTGGACTATTCAGTCGAGATGTTGAAGCCACATCTAAACCTCTAGGTGTTGAAACTGATTTGGCTCCTGGTGGGGAACTCGATGGTGATCTTCTCTGACTCTCTGGTTTAGTGGTGACACATCCACATCCCAGTTCAGTATTCTTGGAATCTTTTCTCTGTTCAAGTTTGGAATGTCTTTTTGGCTTAATGGAAGGTTCATATTGGTTGTAAACTTTATCTAAATAATTTTTCTTTGGAGGACTCTCCTTGTTGATGATTGCATCTTTATTCTTTGCATCAGATAAATATTTTGGACTACTTCTGCCCTTCTTGCCCAATGGACATGTTTCTGGTAGATCATCCTGGACTGTCTGCTGACAGAAGAGTGTTGGTATGTCATTGCGTCTTGGTAGCGATTCAACAGAAATACATAACACAATATCTGTGAATTCTGCTTTTGGAAAATTATGCACATCAGGATTTTTATCAAATTGATGAAGTATTCCTTCACCTGGTGCTGAGAACCTGAAATTTAATTAAGATGGAATTATTCCCACATTGAACCCTATGAGAGCAGCAGACAAGTCTGATGCAAAGTTGATGATGCATGATGATCCAAGACACAAGAAGTGGTAATTTCTAAACATTCTCTATCAGTAAAAACGTGTGTTTTGAGGTGTGAGGCAAGGGTGGAACCCTCTGGCACGATTACGTATGATAAATTTGATTTCGAAGAATCATAATTGATAACAATTCACCTTATGCTGCCAAGCAATGTGTCAGATATAAATCCTCATCAGAGGCTTTTAACAAGGGAGGAAAAGTTTGGCTTCTGTTGCACCATTTTAATTTAGGCAGACACAAAATTTGATTTTGAAATTACCGTTATTCAAATCTACATAAAGATATGTTACCTATATACAACACTAAGTTTTAAGGAACCAGATGATGATAATAACCAGGAACTCAGTTGAGAGAAATGTAGGTATGATCTTAAAGCTTGTATCAAGAAACTGTTAGATACACTGCCTTCATTTCTGTCATGTCTAAAATAAAAATATTTCTACTACAACATGCAATCAAATTCACGATAAATTTATTGTGATGTTGACATTTAATCAACAGAAGATTACAATTGTCTGAAAGTTGGAAAGCCTTTTATTATCCCTATGAGAAATCTTTTATTATCCTAATGAAAAATCTTTTATCATCTTAATGAGAAACTCTTATCTTCTTTTTTTTATAAACTGGCAATTTTGCTTTCCTTTCAAATGTAGGTATTCATGGCACAAAATGGACAGTATGCAAAATTTCATTATTAAAAACAATGAAAATCATACATAAATATTACTAAACTCTATTTTAACTTTATTTGTTTTGAATGGGGAAAAAAGTGTATTGATTGTTAAGTAAGCAGCTTAAAATAGTTTTGATGGTGAGTCCTATTGGGGGCTGGATATTTCTACTTGAACCTTCAAACTAAACTTCATAGCATAAATTACCTTTTCTTGTTGAATCCAATGTACCATCTTTCTAATAAGATATATTCTTCTTTTGTACTTTCAGCTGATCCTTCAACATAAGTAGTAGCTTGTTGTCCATGTTTACAGTTTGGTAACAACAATACATCTATATATGTTGGTACTAAATTCTGCCAGGAACAATACATATGATTCTTTACCCTTCCTGCTATAGAACACTGAAAAGCCAAACCAAGTAATGTGAAAGGGAATAAAAATTCCTAAAACAAAAGGCATGTACCAATGGTCACCTAATAGTCAATGAACTAAAATCAGATTTTGAAAGTGTTTTCTCTTTGACAGTATTTGTCTGTAAAAAAGAAAACATACTTAGACCCGCACTCCCACAGGCTGTGAACATGAAGATCCCTCCATAAACCATAGTTGAAAACTTAATAAAGGTGGACTGATACCACTGTTTCCCTCATTGAAAACTGCATGGTTATATATTTTTTCATAAGCCCAAACAGGAGAAGACATTGCAGGACATAAAACTCCATTGCCAAAGGGAAGAATAAGATCTTGTATTAAGACTGTGTAGGAGTACAAAGGTTCACATTATATTCTTAATTATACAGTAATAAAAAGTATGTAAGTTAATTAATGGCCTCTCTGGTATCTCACCTCTTTTATTCCACGTTGACATAAATGACTTGTACTACCATGTAAGGAAGTACAATGCGAACCTTCTCTACGACCTTTAACAGAGGGATCAGGTGTCCTGGCTTCTACGATCAATAAACCAATCTCTTCCAACACCTCTCTTGGTTCACGTACAATAACATCCATATCACAAAACTCATCATCTACAAGACAATTTTAAAACATTGGTAATTTAAACTACTTGAGTCAAAGCTAGAACCACTTGTCAATCTCACAGTTGTCTGACAGTCAATGAATACAGCAAATTTAGTGTCATATTTGAAAAACCTTGTTCCAGCCAGTAAATCTTTTTCATAAACACCAGAATTGAGAAAATGAAATGAAATTGACATCCAAAGCCATTGTGTATTGTTTAAATTGTGTAAATGATCAGTAAATGTAAAGCAAATTAAGGAGTCTCTTTATTCAATTATGTATATCTAGACAAACCAG